GCTGTTGGGCGTGATGTTGAAAACTTTTGGTTTTTGGGGTCCTGGTTGGGGTGCCACTTGGTACTGGTCCAAGGTGCATTTTAGCCGTGTACTTTAGTCTTTGCGAGTCACTGTGTTGCAGTCTGACACTCAATGGAAGGACTCAAAACAATATTATTACTAACTTGTACTATTGATATGCAGTGTCTATGACCATGGCCAACTGATGCACTGAGCAGTTTGGGCAAAGGCATGTAGCGCCTCCTGGTCCTGAGCTGCGTATCATGCAGGAAAAGGTGAGCTGCAAGGGTGGGAGGGGAAACAAAACCATCACAAAACACCTGTGAGGTTCTAAGGGCACAGTCTGAACCACTGGAGGAGAAAAGCAATGAGTGATGCTGAATGTTTGAAGTGAAGTATCGTGTGTTTTATAAAGGGAGTGGCAGGTGGGGAAAAGAAAGTAGGGAAGACAATGTCATTGAGAATGACTGAGATGAGAGGATGCATCGTCACAGTATGAAGGCAAAGGTTCGTACTGCTCCCAATGCTTGTGCAAAGACCTAACTCTATTCTTCTGCTTGTGCCTCATTACATAATAGAGTATCAATCTTTGTGAGTCACTGTGTCACAGTCTGACACTTGATGGAAGGACTCAAAACAATATTATTACTAACTTGTACTATTGATATGCGGTGTCTATGACCATGGCCAACTGATGCACTGAGCAGTTTGGGCAAAGGCACATAGTGCCTCCTGGTCCTGAGCTGCATATCCTGCAGGAAAAGGTGAGCTGCAATTCCCAAGTGATTATAGGAGTTTGACAACACATTGAGCGAACCAAAGATACCCATGGAACTAGGAGGAGGACAAGTACTCACAGGGAACGTCTGTCACTGAATGCAGGGCATTGTGTGGTGCAGGAATTTGTCTTGGATGGCAGGTGTTGCTTGCAAGTATGGTGTGAGGATTTGAGCATGGTCTCTAAGGTAAAGTTGGAAGGCATTGCTGGCCCACCTTCCCATGGTCTTTACTACATCAAAAGGTACATTTTGAAGGAGATATTCTAGTGTTGCACCAATTCTGATGGCATGACCCTGCAGTGGATTCAGCCCAGTGCTCTTGGCAGCTTGTGTGAGATGCACAGCAAATTTTGTCTTTGTCAGTGGATGGTGAGTGCTGCTGAATCTATATGAAAATAAAGCAATGCTGAGGGGGGGGTCATTGATACTAAAATGATTGTTTAGTGCTGCTTCCGGGTCTGTGGGGCTGTTCTGCTTTGCCCAGAATACATCTTCGCTGGTTTGAGCTGTTTTCGTCTGGGGCAAGCGAAAAACAGTGGTGACAAGGCCATTATGATCTGCCTCTTTGCGAATGTCAGTACACTTGACATGAACAGATGTGTCAAAGGCTGATAGGTTCTTGACTGTGAATTCCCCACTTCTCATGATGGAATAGAAGGCCATTATGAGGCAGCCAGCTACTGCAGTGTATAAGGGGTCGCTGGGGTTCAGCTTCTGCAGGATGCTTGTGATGAAGGCTACTGTGTAAGGAGGCCACTTTTTTCACTTCGATGATGGGGGGGTCATGTTCTTAGTGACCTTTAACATGGTATCTATTTTGTCATCATCTAGGGACCATGATCTCCCATGTAGGATATGCCAGGTGCGAATGCCATGGACATAACTGGATATGGTCTTTCCTGAGTATGTGCCTGCTAGGTTTGATATAAATGCTGAAATCAGTTCGGATGATGCAGGTGCACACAGGGTGTCTTTGATGGACTTGGAATCGCAGAATATGTGGAAGGCAAGGATACCACTGCCATATGCTTCCCTCGTGCTGCTTGCCCATGCATAGATCATGACGTCCTGGATTTGTTGGATGTTGATGCTGGGAAGGGTAGAGGGTGCCAATTGGTTTCTGGCTGGGAGCCATAGGCGAAGCCTGTCCTTTGTGGCACAGTGCGGACACAATGAGGATACTAGGGGGGTAAGGTTGCTAGGGTAGGATGCTATAACTAAATTCTCTTTTAATTAGGGAAGCTTTCTAGGATGTCATGTCCATTGACTTATGCTTTTGATGCTTCAAAGATTTCTTCTCCTTGATGATGGAGTTCATTGTTAAGACCACTACGTGGGTCTTGAGAGCAGGAGCCAACATTAATGAGTGATTGTGTTTTGGTGCTCTCGCGGTGCCGATGACATCCAAGAGAGACTTTGGGATTGTCAAAGTCTGCGATGAAGCATTGAAGGGCTTGGGGGATGTGAATTGGGGGAAGTAACAAGTCTGTGGAGGGATAGATCCCCCTGGATGGGTTGTCTGCTGGATTGTGCATGCTGGGTACATAGCAGGTAAGGAAAGTGCAGTTCAAAGGTGCGGTAAGCTCATGTATCCGTTTGAAGATAGTGTTGGTTGCCTTGTTCCGGCTTCATCCTTTCCACCAGCCCTCGACGATGCCCCAATTGTCCCCAAATATTTTGACGCAGCTGCCCTCTGGGCACTGATCAAGGAGAGTGATAATGAGGAATTCCATCCTGACAGCTTCCGCCCAGCCAATGTCTCAGTCCTCGTCTTTCCAGCCTGGGAGGTGCCATGCTCTCCACCTCCCATTGATCCAAACCATGATCCCAGTGCCTGAGCTAGTGTCTGAGTAAGCCAAGGGGTCAATGACTTCGACGGGCCCTGGAATGGGGCGGGAGATGATGGGTTGTGTGAGCCTGGCTTTCCACCAGCGGATGTCCTCACCTGTGCATTTAGGGGGGGTACGAGGCATGAGTGGATGGTCGTGAAAAATGGATAACATGGCTTCAAGAGAGACAAGGTAAGCGTGTCCTGCAGGAAGGACCAGAGAGGCGTGTAAGAGCTTTCCATAAAGCTCTTGGACTTCCTGTAAGGTATGTGATGCTCAAGCCTCCCAAGTCCAAATGGCTGCCAAGTATTTCTCTTTCTTTTTCTGAGGGATCAAGACTGACTTTGAGGCAATATCCCAGAGGAAACCGATAAATGGAGCATGTGACAAGAAGAATATGTCCTTCGCCAGTTCCTAGGGTATTCCCAGTATTTTGGATAGGCGGTTGATGTCGTTGAAACAATAGGTGAAGAGAGCATCCTCTGGTGACCGTGGGGAACATGCTGATAGATCAAGGATAGGGAATGACATGTTCTTGTCAAATTCCTCAACACTGTCATCTGGCATGACTGATCCACGGTACCATTTTCGACCTCCTTCCACAAGCAAGCCCCCGTTTCTAGAGATAATGACTGAGCGGGCTTTGCAAAGGGCATTATAGCTTTTGAGGTGCTCGCAAAGGATGTGGATGAACAGGTGGTCATCCACCCATTTGGATATGGGTCCGATGCCTTGTGATCTGAAAATGTCAGCACCTGCATTGGCAACCTCGCCGTAAGTTCTGGTGGAAGCTGAGAACCCAAAACAAAAGTTTGTATCAATAGCGAAATCTTCATTCCCAGTTCTAACCACCAGACCCAGCCATTGAGATGGATGAAGTGGGATTGTGCGATATGCTTCCACCACATCACATATGGCTGCTTGAGATCCTGGGGGAAGGGACCAGATAAGAAGGCAGATAGTCAAAGCAGTGCCCCAGGTGCATGGGTAGAGATTGAAATCAATAGATGAATTAATAGATGATATGGTAGCTGATGGGTGCATAGGGAATGATAAATTTTGTACGAGCCTGAATTTCCCTGGCTTTCCTGGTTTTGGGACCATGGATAGAGGGGCTGTCTGAAAAGAACTGATAAGTTTTTCTGTTTCCAATTTAGATAGGGGACCAATGTAATGACCGGTGGAGTATTCACGATCCAGAACAATTGTAAAGGCATCATGGTGTGTGTGTAAGGATGGACTATTAGATGGGGTATAAGTGTGAGATATAACAGGGACACTGCCCATGAAGCTGATACGTAAGCCGTTAGGAATATGTGCATATTTATGTAAGAGGTGCAAAGAATTGAGAAGATCAAACCATGCTTCGGGTTGGTAGGGAGTGACTGCTCTAGATGCTCTCGCTTTGAGGACATTCTTGAGCTCCATGATCCTTTGCTCCACAGCCTGAGCACTCGTGCATGTGAGAGCAAGCAGTGCTGTGACATCCCTTTGGTCTCTGCCAGTTGTAACAGAGTTTGAGGCCTTCAGGGTTGACCAAGTGACCCTCTGTGCCACGTCAACAGCGGGTTTTGGTCCACTTGTCCCAAAGGAACTCGGAAGTGCACTTGTGGATGGGGTGGCAGAAATGGCCGAGACAGAGGGCACAGGCTGAGGGACTGGATTGACCTGCACCCACTTGAAAAGACTGTTGACCTTTGTGTGGTCTCTTCGCTGCCTGTTCGATGGGGTGATATCAGTGATATCAGTTGTTTCCTGATGGCGAAGATGGCTCTGCACGCTTTCCCCGATTCTCACTGACTTCCCATCCCCGGTAGCAGGTGGGAAGATTGTAAGCTGGAAGCGAGTTTTGGAGCTGTGTAAGATGGAGTGTGGGTGCAAGAGGGGCAAGTTCAATTCAAACCGGTGGTAGCAACAATATAATAGGAGCTGGGTAGTCAGCATTGGTGTACACATGAGCAGAGGAAGCGTGATTATTCAAGTGAGCAGTGGTAGCAGGGTCATGACCCATTCGAGGAAGCAGTAGCATGGTATGGTTAAGTAAGCAATGGTATACGAGCGTGGTTGTTGACAACCCAAAGTAGGAAGCATAGAAAGCAGATGGTAGCCAGATGCCAGCAGGACATGAATCATTGAAGGAAATGATAGCAGTAGTGAAAGGATATCAGTAATTTCGTTAGTTTTTGGGATAGTCTGTTAGAAGATTGGTAGAATGCACCAATTTGAGGCTCTTGTCATGCTCAGCTTCCCAGACATCATCTGATAAAGATCTGCACAGGGCAGGGTTGAATGTGCCGATATTGAATCCTTGGTTTTGCATGAGCCAATCATGCCATTCACAGCACACAAACCCTGCATAACAAAGGAGGGTCTTCTCTCCCCTTGGATGCATTCAGTGTTCATGGTTGGTAATGAGCATGAAGAATAGGGCCAGCACTTGCTGGTGCTTTTCAGGCCATCCGTTCTTCTCTATGTGGATGAGGAAGCTGGTTTTTGCCAAGTCAAATTGACACCATGATAGGTCATGGTCCTGCAAGGCTTTCTGGGAAGCCTTGAAGGACACATTGGTCTTAAGGGCCACCATGCCATTGACTCTCATGAAGCCAAAGGCATCATCAGAATCGGAAGTGGACCTAGAAGTCAAGGCAGCTTCATGACAACCATCGGGGCTGAAGTACCATAGTTCCACATATTCCATGTTCTTTACCTTCTGGATGGCATATTGGGATGGTCGTGGAATGATAACATCCACTACCATGATTTCAGCATCGAAGTCACTAATCTTGGGTTTCTTCTTCTTGGCTTCTCAACACTCTTCCTGCTCCTCAGCCTCCTTTTCAGCCTTCTCACATTCTGTGTGCTCCCGCAGCTCACAGGCTTCCTCTTCTATCTGTTGCTGCCACACATGAGTACATTCTTGGCACTCAAGTCCCCAGCCCTCTGCCATCTGTGCAAGGGCCCCCCATCCATTAAAGCAGCGAGCCATGCTCGGTATGCGGCCAATTCAAAGTTTGGTTGTGCCTCTAGCACTGGGTCAGATGTGATGCACTCCATGAAGCTTCGGGAGAATTCAGACAGTAGCCAGTGATAGCTGGGGGATGATTATCGAGCTCGAATTTGTAGTGAATGCACAGACAGTAGATTCAGTGAGATTGAGAATGGGAGGAAAAGAAAGTAGGGAAGACAACGTCGTTGAGAATGACTGAGACGAGAGGATGCGTCGTCGCAGTACGAAGGCAAAGGTTTGTACTGCTCCCGACGCTTGCGCAAAGACCTAACTCTATTCTTCCGCTCGTGCCTCGTTACATAATAGAGTATCAATTAGTATTACCTGTGCACAGCCACTGGTGCCGTCCACGTGTCCGACAACTCTGATGAATTGACGACTTTAACTTAGTCATTCGCGCGAAGTTCACACGATATTACAGCCTGCACCTGGACATCGGCAAATGCCGAGCAAATGCCGAGGAGGCTCTTCGCCAACGATGATCGATGATCCGCAGCTAAAATTACCATGCTCGACAACCCCTATTCCATACATCTCAATGGAATTTGACGATGCTCAATCTTTCAAGAGTGTTGATGAGCAGGGTCTCTGTCATGACATGCCTCATGAACCCCAGGGAACCGTCCTAGCCGAAGGCGGCATAATTCTGTCCTGTGTACCGTGATGGAATGCTCAGGAAGCCTGTGCCGTCCTCACACCAGTTAGCCGGACAGTCCGCAGCAGCGCTAGCACCAAAACAGCACAATTGCTATTGCGCCTGTCATTCTTATTGGACACCTGGCAGGAACATGCACTTTGTCACATCTGCTGTTGGACCAAAGATACATAACTCACAAGCGCCAGATACACCGCAGCGATGATGACCATGGGAACTATTATGTTAAATCCTGTATGCACCGCCCACTTGTCGACTCTTCTCCACACTTCTCCACAGGTGACCTATTGTACGAGCGAGCCACCATCCACATGCCAACATCCCACGTCAGTCCCATCTCCATGATACAGCGAAGGTAGACGCTCGGCATTGTGGTGCTTTTATCTCGGAAAAAGTACTATTGCTTCACTCACAGTGATGCATGTGTAGACTTGGAAATGTATGCGACCATACTGCTCCACAAGGTTGCCCGTTCAACACTGGATGACGACCGACCACTTGCATTGCTGAAGACATAATATTAAACATCACTTATGCGATACTTCAAGTTGGCACAAACTTGGCATGTGATCACCTGATGGCTGTCGGTGACTTTTCATTTGGACGTACTTACCAATAGCCAACTACTAAGCCGTGATATCTCGGACCCTGATCGGACACGCCCATTGGACCAGTGCTGTTGTGTATAAATGTGTTCATCACAATGTTGTTGACGTTCTCTCCGTCCACAATTCCATTCAGACAACCTTTCGGGATTGATAATCCTAAAATCTTCCCTGAAGCACACACCTTACTGACTTGCTGAGTCTCCCATCATAGATAAATGTCTCACTTACCCATGACAGAACCAATGAAAGATAACGTACTCCAGGACTCGAATGAAACGTGAGCCGTGCTTGTCTGTTGTACGTCTTTGCATACATTATACTCACTATTTCAGGCGCCAAACTATTGTACGTTTTTTCTGCCTAGCCTGCTGTTGCCAGTGGCTGACACGTATCCTATGATTTAGTATGTTGGGATCGTTGGTTTCACCATATTGATTTGGGACCACATTGTCACCATCGCAGACGAGGTGCGACATCACTAGAATTTAGTGAAACTCAAATTTATCAATATATTCTGAGTTAGATTGAGTTAATCTGGCGACGCCCTAAGGGGACTCGTGAGTGTCATCTTTGATAAGGGCATGTGCTGGTATCTGAACTTGTTTACCAAGTTGTATACTTATTTCTACTGGTATGCATATGTATTGGCAGTGTCTATCAGTAAAAACTCTCATGTTCCGGGTTAATATTCCAGAACCGATATCTTACTCCTCTCGTCTTTATCATCAATCTGGTTGGTGAGTACTTCACCTTTGACTTATAGTTTCACCTGTAACCTCTACTAGCATATACTCTACCTTCATGGGACTACGCAGTGAGTTTTGATGTTTTACCCCCACTATCTGCCAATGGTGAATCTTACAATCTTGATTGCAGAGGTCGGCATTGCACTGTGCCACAGGACTTAGCTGACATTGCATTTGAAGTTGCCGGCATTTTGTTCGATACGAAGGGGCCACCACAGCTGTAGGGATCGAGATAGTCGGGTTGATGATGCTGTTACGGTAAAATTTGTTTCTCCTCCCGGCAAACATCTACTAATGATGGAGAGCAGCGTCATTGCAATGTATAAAAATCAATGGGCCGCCATTGCGCCGGCAGTGTTCTTACTGCTAGCTTGGATTGTAGTGACTGCATGGCTATTGAGTTATGGCGAACGTATGGTTTCACCTTCGCCACGCAACGTATGAGTTTACGACATAATTCCCAGCCGTTCTTCACTCAAACCATGTTCAATGTGAGAGATACTCATTTTTCACACACGACAACCCCATTCACGATTTCACAGCTTGCACTATGGTGTTCGATTCGTGAGTCCTTACTAGCAATATGCAGATGTGAGTTCTGAAACCCTTTTCAGCGGCAGTATTGCTTCGGCTACAGCTTGGTTGCCTCTGCTCTACGACACGTATGTCTTCGGGCTGACGTTGAAACGCACGCTTCCTTCGATCCGCAATAAAGAAGCGGGGTATGTTATCCGTACTGTTTTCGCAGACGGGCTGCTGTACTACAGGTGCGCAAACCAGGTTCTCCCGGTAGCAGAGCTCACCGAGCACATGACAGCGTCATTTGTACTATAAATCTGATATTGGCAATCATGATCGTCAGAGCTCAGGAGGGGGTGAAAAACATCGCCGCACAGTACGCATATCTCCATTACAGAGTTTGCTCACATTTTTATCGATTTACTCACTGTACACAGGCTTGAGCTTCTGTGAGTGTTTCTTAGTAAACTACTAATAACAGAGATTGACCGAGATTATTCTGTCACAGCCTTACTGTGAGCACTGAGCAGTAGTTCGTATTCGTCGTAGGCTGACAGTTTCACGGTCAACAGGTCACAATGATGTCAAGGATTACTCTAAACCTTAAGAAGCAAGGATTTCATGGATTTAATCCCCACCACTCGCGGGCGGAAGATTTTATTATGTCTATACGCAATCATGTCATATCCACACCCTCAGGGGAAGTTTCGCTCAGCCGATTGCGATCACATTCTGTCTCCTCCGCAGCGCGCGTCGAGTCGAGCAGCCGTGCGCGATCTGGCTCGGTAAGTTCTATTGTATCTCCCGTGCGGACCATCACCCTCCCAGAGGATCCATTAATCTTCGCTACTCGGCCTCGCTTGAGCACGGTATTTTCTGCTACCAGTACTCCAATTGCTTTAAGTCCTAGTGGTAGTCCAGTTAGTAGCGAATATGTCGACTGGCCTTCAGCTTTGAATTCCGACCAGCGAAATACTACAGACATTAATATTGTATGATTTACATCTCATCGATTCTACTACCTAGTCGGTTATGGCAGATTTGTATGCACTAGTTCTTCCACCTGTTAGGCCAATGAATGTTCAATGCAATGTACTAAATAATTTATTCATAAATGGACGCGGTCACTGAGGGAGTGACAGTGACAGGTGAACGAAGGCTTCCGAATCGGACTGAGTTCTGCTCAGTGGCCTTGGCTCGTTCTTCTTCGTCAGCGCAGGACGCGACGCTCAAACTTAGAGAATCATTTGTGAGCTCTCTTTTGTTTTCCTAGTTTAAAGGCTTCAAATACCTTCTAAAGTCCTCTGGACTTGGACGCCAGGTCCACCCATCACAGGCCATCCTTCTATACCCGCCTTGATACCGACCATATCCCATCCAAGGCTATGGCAACTCCTTCGTCGACTTCAACCAGTCCCGGAAAGCGCGCGAACACGTCGAAGCTTCTCAATGACTATGTTTGTTTGCATCGGTTACATCTCGTGGCATTGTACTGAATATGTTTGCAGCAACTCGGGGACTCTCTTGGAAAGGGCGCGTTTGGTCAAGTCTACCGTGAGTAATGAGGATTTCTGCGGAAATAAACTTTATGCAAGTGTTCATGCACGTAGGGGCACTTAACTGGGCTACTGGTGAGACCGTGGCCGTGAAGGAGATACAACTCAGCAACATACCAAAGGGAGAGCTCGGGCAGATAATGGTGGGTCCGGGACTCCATTATTCAAGGGCTTCGGGCGCCTTGTTCAAGACTTCATTCTAGTCCGAAATCGACTTACTCAAGAACTTGAATGTATGTAGCTCTCGAAACTTATAGTCTGATCGTTTACCCGATCCATTCCTTAGCACCCTAATATAGTCAAGTACAAGGGCTTCGTCAAGACCAGGGAATACTTATACATCATCCTTGAGTAAGTATTTATCCTACCTCAACCGAGGAAAGTAACTGAGCATGCCGTGCCAGGTTCTGCGAAAATGGATCATTGCATAATATCTGCAAACGTTTTGGTAAATTTCCAGAGAACCTGGTAGCGGTTTACATCTGTCAAGTCCTGGCGGGGCTCGTATACTTGCACGACCAAGGTGTCATCCATCGCGATATTAAGGGCGCAAATATTTTGACTAACAAGGATGGCTGTGTAAAGCTTGCTGACTTTGGAGTCGCTAGCTCTACTACAACTGGTGCCATTCATGATGATGCCGTTGTGGGCAGTCCATATTGGAGTGAGTTGTCATGGTATATGTCCTCGCCACGACTTAATAACTTTCTACGCCAGTGGCACCTGAGGTCATCGAGCAATCTGGCGCAACTACTGCGTCAGACATCTGGTAAGTATAATCGAGCCACTTGTGAGTCAACATAAATGCTGACATATTATTCAGGAGCGTTGGTTGTGTAGTTATCGAACTTCTGGAAGGAAAGCCTCCATATCACTTCCTCGACCCCATGCCTGCGCTCTTTCGCATCGTCCAGGATGACTGCCCTCCTATTCCTGATGGTGCATCTCCAATTGTCAAGGATTTCCTACTTCACTGTTTTCAGAAGGACTGTAACCTCCGAATATCGGCCAAGAAATTACTCCGTCATCCTTGGATGATATCTGCAAAGAAACAGATGAACATGGCTGCAGGGAAGGGACCGGGGTCTCCAGAAGGCGGACCGCAATCATTCCTGGATGGCAAGAGACCCACGAGCAACTATAACTACGACGAGGCTGTTCTCAAGGTACAGGAATGGAATGAAGCTCTCAAATGTGATTTGTCATTGTTTTGATCGATACTTCGCTTATGCTCCTTTAGCTCCTACACGACCTACGAAGAAGACTAGTCGTAACTCCGTCTCTGAAGGTCAACCACCATCCCCGACTCGTGGCGGTCGAGATAAGCCTGCGGTGTCGCTCCTTCAGCATTCAGTTCTTGGTCTCCAGGCTTCGACCTCTGGGAACTCTGTTCTCAAAGGATCCAATACTGCCCCGGGAAAGCCCTCTGCCCCCGTTGCTCTAGTGGAGAAGATTCGGGAGCCGCTAGCTTTTGTCCTTCAGCCTCCAGAAGAGCAAACAGACAACTGGGACGATGACTTTGAGGATGGACCCTCATTCACCAAGTTACAAGGTATGCGCGAGATTGAACGAGAATCGTGATCTTATTTTGTATTGCTATGTAGCCTCCACCTTAGAGAAAACGTCCATGGAAGATGAAAAACCGGAGGGTGATGATAATGCGCAGACCATCAGACCAAATCGTAGCCCAGCTGGCCCCGGGACAATACCACTCGCAAGGGCACCGTCTGCCGATATTGTACCCATCGTCGAAGACTATTCCGACATCGCAACCGAGGAGGACGAGCTCCTGCTTCAAGAGAAAGTGGCAGATTTCAAGGTCAGTGTATCCCTTTTCCCCTTATTGCTGTCTGAGAACTCTCGCAATGTCGAAGATGAAGAATTCAGTGCGTAGGGGACTCTTTCATCCTGACGATATCAAAGTTCTCGGACTCCTTTCTGGTTCTCCCGGTCCTATATCTGCACCTCTTCCTAGTCTGTCGCGGAAGGCATCCCGCCCGTCTCTCAGTCCTATTTCTGGCATGGGTCTACCACCTACAGGTTCGATACGATCACATTCCCGCTCATCTTCCTTTGTCGGATCTGGTTCAAGTGCTTCCGGCTCTTTTGGTCGCGTAGAGGCGAAACGTGCGGCTAGCCATGCTGAATTTGGCAAGTATGCTGAGGACGACGATGAGGACTACGATGATATCTTTGGAAAACCTGGCGGAACTAGTAAGTAGTTTTAGGCCAATGTATGAATAATTTTGAACTCTAGCTCCGCAGCTCTCGAACAACCGATGCAAACTCTACAACTCAACACAAGGTTGTCGAACAAGTCATGGGTAAGGTCTATGTTTTATTTCGGACATCTTGTGGTGATTGATTTTGCTGCAGCTCGGAGACGATTCGGACGAAGACGATCCTTTCGCAGAAGCAAGTTTTTATGTGTCATCTATGATACTGGCTGATTAAATCTAAATTCCTCAGATCGACGAAGGTTTTGCTGAAGATGATCTTGAAACTAATCTCCAACGTGACAAGAATGCCCGGTTGTGCAACATGGTGAACCAACTCATCGATGAACTGACGCCCTCGGCGCCTGACTTCCAACTGCGTGATGCTTGCGATCAACTGGTCAGTTCAATTGCATTGGATGATTTTTATGGTCTGATATGTTGTCACATCTCTAGATCAATATCATGACAGAGAACCCAGATATGCTTGTGCAGTTGGTGTCTTCACATGGTATGCTGGCAATTTTGGAGGTACTGGAAGGCAAGTGCTCTAGGGACGTCCTCATGAAGCTTCTTCACATCATCAACTTGGTAAGTTGGCGACTTGAAATGCATCCATGAACTTAACGTCATTGACCAGTTGGTCACGAGCGATCTTGGGTTCTTAGAAAGCTTCTGCCTCATAGGTGGGATTCCGGTCATGATGGGTATGTGCCGTAGCCCCAAAGGGGTTGATAATGAAGGATTGACGCGCTGCAGGTTTCACTTCAAAGAAATACCCTTCTGAGTGTCGCGTAGAGGCGTCCAACTTCATCAGGCTACTCTGCCACACATCTGTATTGACGTTGCAGATGTTCATCTCGTGCGTGCTTGCCTGACTTCTCTTTATGCACGCGTTCATATCCCCTTACAGATGTCGTGGCCTGAAAGTTCTTGTTGATCTGTTGGACGAGGACTACACCGACCAAACTGAGCTCGTTGTCGACGCTCTCAACGGCATAGGAAGCGTGTTCGAATTGCAAACACCAACGACTAAGAATGACTTCTGTCGTATGTTTATCCGCGAAGGCCTTCTCGACCCTCTCTCCTCCGCTTTGCTCAATGTCATGGGCAATTCCAGTCCCAATGCAGTCCAGATGAAGCACAAGATTATACAAATCCTTCTCGTGTTCTCGCAAGTGACACAAAGCGATATCCACGTACGTAACGCCATGGGAACACGGAAGATCGTCAGACGTGAGATTTTCGTGTCGATCAAATGATGCACCTAACCGCAATTATGATGGCAGGTCTATTACGCGCATGCGAGCTTCTGGAGATGGAATGCCTAGTTCAGATGCTGAAAGCTGTGAAGCACTTGTCCATGAATGCTAATCTGCTTGAGGTGCTTCAAAACGCCAACGCCATCGAGATACTCATTAAACTGCTGGACGAAGAAAAGACCGATCCCCATAGCACGGTAAGCCATATGAGATCACGACTTGGGCGTCGCTCAGATCAAATGGTACTTCAGGAAGTGTCAAATCACATTTTCCAGACCTGTTATAACCTCTGTCGGCTGAACAAGTCACGACAAGAGGAGGCGGCTCAAGCCGGCATTATTCCGTGCTTGAAGCGAGTAATTGAGACCAGCTCACCTCTCAAACAGTTCGCGTTGCCCATTCTGTGCGACTTAGCTAGTGCGGGGAAAAGCTGCAGATATCTCCTCTGGCAACATAATGGTCTCGCGCTTTACTTGAAACTTCTAGAGGACCCATACTTTCAGGTCAGCGCCTTGGAGGCGATTCTGTCATGGTAACGAAAATTTTGAATTGCATTCTGCACCACGACTAACATGAACTTAGGTTGCAAGATGAAACGGCCAAGATCGAAGATGAGCTGGTCAGCCACGAGTCTCTTGAGGCGTTGCTCAAGTGCTTCGTATCCGCGAAAGCCAACTCCTTTGAAAACCTCCTTGACCCCCTTCTTAAAATCTGTCGTATCTCTACCCCACTCACCATCGGCCTTGCAAAATCTCAATTCTTCAAGCGCATCATTGACAGGCTCAACCACAGCCGCGCGGTCGTTCGTCTTAACCTCTTGCGTATCCTTCGGACTGTTTGCGACGTGCACCCAAACCGTGCGATGTTGGTAGAGCGCTACGGATTGCACGAAATGGTCATGAAGCTTAGCAAGGATGATGGTGCTGTCTTGGTGCGCGAGCTGGCGAGAGAGATTCTACCGGCACTAGCCCCTGCACTTAAACCGGCGGGCAACAGGTCTCTGCTCAAGGGGTACGATACTCCGAAAAGCAGTGTAATAGCGCCCAAGAAAGCCAGGCGGACGGCATCGGAAACGTCTGTGATGACGGGATCAAACTCGTCCATGCTGGGTCTGAGCATGGGTCCCCCTCCGACATCGAGGACGGGGATAGAGAGGGCGCACTCATCATCCAGGCATAGACTTGGTGATATACCTTGGCAATCTCATGGGGGACAAAGATGAACCATTTATTTTTATTGTCTGGTCAAACAGTGTGCTTTTTATTAATTTATTGTCCGCTCTATATCGTTAGCTTTGCATCGCCATCACAGACAGTACTTTCATTTGCACATACCATATATCCCTCACTAATGATGGCATGCAAAGAACAAATAACTTGATTAACAATGTAATCTGGACATGGATTATGAGCAAATTAAGACACGGCGGAGTAACGTAACGAACGTACAAGTAATCTACTTGCGAGCAAAGGGTATCTGGAAACCGGAGACCAGTGCCCTTGCACGATTTTGTGCACCGAGGCCCACCGCATTGGTAATAAAGTGTATGTGCATACCATAAGATTTGGGGTACGAGTCCAAGTTGACCTCAATTTGAGGGAAGTAGCCCATGGCCTCTGGCGGCAAGCCAAATGAAACGACACCAGCCACGCCGCTCGGAGATTTCATTGTTGATGATGCGGGAGGCATGACTATGCCCGGGAACTCTCGAATCCTCGGAAGCACAAATTCCACCAGGGTACTCAAGAAGTCGTACATCTTGGGTCCCTTCAACTCGACCTTTGCACCAACTGGAAGACCAGGACGCATCCATCCACCGACATTCTTTTTCCCCTTCACGATCTGCACTCCATCGCTCGAAGGACGACCTCCACCATCCTCGGTTTCTCCCGACATTGCACGGAACGCGGCGATGAGACCAAGTAAATTACTCCGGTTGGTAAGTGCTTCCTTGGTCATGGAATGAATGACTATTTTTTCCAAACGGACGATATTCTCTGAAGTGGTGGGGGGTGCCGGCTTCTTGCCTGCCTGGGAGCCACCAACAGGAGGGTTATAACGGTTTTTAGTGTACGGGTCGTTGGGGTCGTAAGTGAGACGGATTTGGCGTGGTGATGGTGGTGTACCAGACTCGTGATTGTAAGTCATGTACATCAAGTTGTCTTGGAGAGTCGTGTGGTAGTGATCCATGAGACGACATGGGTGGGTATCGCGGACAACGAGATTCCTGACGTGCGGCACTGGAAGACCATTCTCGTCGCGCTTGAGGAATTTGCGAATTTTCGGAGGCTTCCTGAAAGGACGGATTGCCTTCGCGCTGTGAGAGACGCGAGCTGCTGCCTGCACTCATCTGAAAATTATATCTGTGAGAAATAGGTTCAGGTGTCAGAAACTGGAAAACGAACTGAGGGACGCGAGAGTCGAAGTGAGGAAGCAATTTGACTTGGTGGACAAGTATGGAAATATTTATTTGTAAATTATTTTTGTACTTTCTTCCTCGGGTTAACGGTCAGGTCAGCCTTGCTAATTCATTGCCATTAGATTGCAGTCCTCAACGTTGCTGACGACGTCGACGGTCGACTTTATTTCTTTTCTTTATTTCTTTTCATTTTTCACTTAATGGCTTTGACTGCAACAGCACATTCAGCTCTCCCAACACGGTGGGACGATACAATCGTGCCAACTCTTCGCAAGAGTACGTATAATACTATAACGTTCTTGTCCAGAAGCTTCTGGCCCGTCAGATTCTGACGGACCCGCCTTCTCTTCCTTTTTTCCAGGACTAGAAAGCGAAAGTCGCATCCTTGCTAAACGCCTGTCAGTGGCATCTTTTTCTTCTACGGACGACACACCAAGGTCGAACGCTCCTTCAATTTCTGGCCATACTCTGCGAGATCTGGCTCCAAGTTCATTTTATTCTCCAGAACACAAGAAATCTAGTGCTATACCCAGACCAAACTTGCAACAGTCGGAAAGTCCTTCAGAAGCATCCCGTGCCAACGGCGCTTCCTCATACAATCCTCCATATACACGCGCTCGCACAGTTTCTCAACCATACTTGTACGATTCTTCTTCTCAACTTAACGGCTACGCGAACGGACACGCTATACCCACCCCAGATCCTTCTCGCCCTACTTCCCCTCGCACTTCTGACGTGAAGCCCACCCGAATACCGATGGTCGCGCGGGGGAGAACCACAAGTACTTCCAGTCATGCCCAGAGTGTCGCGACTCGTACAGAAAGTCGCAATGACGTCCTTTCCCACCAGACACCTACTCCTGATACGTCTCCTGATCTCTGGATTGTCGATGAGACTGACCCCACTTTGTCAAATGTCACCATTCGACATCAGAGATCAAATATCATGAACGAGCCTGCTCCATTCGGGGCGAGTTCTATCAGTTCCTCTATTCTCTCCAAACAGTCTCACCACGACACTGCCTTTGCGCCTCCGCGGCCTTCCAACGAATCAGAAGAACGTCCGTTTGAACACTGGTACAGAGGAGATGTGCATAGAAACGGTGGCGTCGGGGAATTGCGTGTAGGTAAACGTATGGAGATGTTGCGTATCGCCAACTTCGGACACGACATGAAGTCGAGCACGCACCGTTTTGCACCTCGTGACTTCTCTACCGCTTTGGAGTACAGCCGTAGACGAAAGAGAGCTGATAGTGCTTCTGGCCTACGGGAAAGAGAGAGTTTGTATTTGGATGAACAGAGAGCAAAGGAGGCGGATATGGTACTGGACGAAAGCCCACCGACGGATATTGACGGTGATCCTGACACCGACCCGGAAGATAACTATGACGCATATGGCAGCACAGAGGACGTCACCATTCATCCTCCATTCAGTGCGTCTACGCCCGGTCTGGTCAGATTCTCTACGGAGAATACCCGCAGCGAAGCACACCCCACTATTAATACCGAGATGCCACCTACTCGGATACCCGTTGCACGTACAGCCTCGGAACCCCTCAGAGCCAACACATCCATTGAAACAACACGCAGTTCCGAAACTTTGATTCCATCTCCTGATTCCATCACAAGTTCCCGCCGGCGGTCATTTTCACGATCACAGAATCAATCGCCAGATCATCCGCCGAGTAACAAACGTCGCACGAAGAGCCCAGTGTCGCCTTCAACACCGAAGAGGTCCAAATCGAAAGCGAGGACGCCCCCTTCTGCTGCACGACGGAAGGATGACAATCGCGGTTCGATCGCTTCATATCCAACTCCCGAAGGAGATGGTATGGTTGACGCTATACCCACGTGGACCCAACCAGTTCAGAAGTCGGGCACCTGGGACGAGGTGATAAGATAAGAGTAACATTAATCGTTTCGCTGATAGCTTTTCAGGTGGTATTACCGGTTGTGGCGCGCAAGAAAGGTCTGAATGGTCAGTACGAGCAAGCAGATGGTAGCCCTAGACCGAAACCTCCCAATCCTGTTGCTCCAGTAAGTGTATTTCCAATTCTCGTATCCGACCAATTACTGACGTCTGCATTAGGCGCCTGGCACTTTTGGTTATGATTACTCTAAGTATCGTGCGCCTCGGGGGGAGGAGATACCAATGGATGAATTCGGCAAGCTACCAAGTGCAATTCAGGAGACACCAGCACCGATACCCGAAAGCCCATCTCCAACACTACCACCGCCCCTCACCGAAGAACCAGAGCGACCTATCCGTCCAGCCCGTCGGAAAACGACCCCACGTCCTCCTGATTCTCCAGCACCATTCTCGCACTACCGACATGCAGACATTCCGACCATCAACGTTACGCGACCATCCACTGACGTCGAGCCATCACAGCAAGTACCTCACGACGATGAAGACACAGGCGCTGGGTGCTGCAAGTGTGTTGTTATGTGATTGCGACGATTTCGAAGCATTTGGTCGTTTTCTTCTCTTCATTGTTCTATGTTTTCACGTTCACTTTCTCATCCACATCTGCACATATGTCATCTTCATTCTCTCTTAGTCGCGTCACTCAGATTTCTTTGCATATTGGGCGTTCCTCCTCTTTCCGCATACCTTATCACTCAAGACAACCGGAGTGTCATACCTCTCGTTCACCTTCCGTTTCGTATCGTCCTCCACCCATACCATTGCCTTATCGCAGAACACGTCTGTCCCTCTTCTTATGCCGCTCATTTTCCTTGTGTATTATGGATCCATGGCCGGTATTCACTCTCAAACTATTCTAGTGCTCTAGTACTCTGGGTTGACTCACTTACATATACATCATCAGTGATATTCTTGTTGTGCATCGCGAGCTGCCAGTCCAAAGTTAGAAACATTAATCGTATGACATTACTTTGGGATATGTGGACGGAGAGTCGAGAGAGCCACTACACTTTGCAATTTTCAAGCTCAAGGTCAAGCGGCACATGGTCAATTCACTTCCGTCCATATGGTACTGTAATTTATTGCCATGCATAACTCAAGGGCAAGTCTCAGTAACAGGTAAACGATCTGCTGGCTCCAAGCAGTCCATCTTCATCTACACGCACTTCCTCCGTCGAGAACCGAATATCTACATGGTACGTCCCAACTTCATCACTCACGTCTATGTGTGTCATGTTCGCAAACTGCGGAAGGACTTTCCCGTCCTTCGACCAGGCGATGCTGTAGCTTTCCTCGCTGGAGACAGGGGTTCTCTAAACTCAGCAAGCGGAACCAGATCAACCCCAAATATCCTGCGGCGATCACGCCCACACGCTATCTTGAAGTTGTCGACGAGATCGATACGTTTGAGTAGCGATAGCCAAAGACCCTCCAAGCACACTTTGCAAAAGTTGGGCTTGGTGACGCTGCGCATAAGACAATCGTCGTTCGTCGGACGATAAGAAGTATCATTATCTATGCTGAATCTTCACACCAGTCAATGGCTTAAACTCCTTGACGTGAAAACCACCCACTCACGTCGGGAACATGCTATAGTGACCGAGTGTCGCGTTGAATCTGTCATTGGTATTAGATTTCCCAGATTAATGGATATGCGTGATCACAACATACTCAGCTTCCGTCCCATATTCCAATACCTCTACGCTACATAGTTGCGCGCTTCCTTCAAGAGCGCCGTTCTTCAGGACAAACGAGATTTCGTGTACGCCAGCGCTCAACGACGTATCCTCATAAACATCATAGTGCCATCTATCGGCACCGATATCTTTTCTTGGAGCCCAGCGTAAATCGACTTTATCAAATAGGACAATCAAGTCATCTCGATCTGGGAGGCCAGACAGCGAAAATTTGACCAGATGACGTGCGTAGTTTCCTGATGACAAGAAGGAGATCGTCCATGGTTGAGTTGTATTTAGCAGTGTCCATGGATACGCTTGCATCGGCATCACGGACCGTTCTGCGCGGAACATGTTTGCATCATCTTCCTTGTGCTCGAGCCACTGTGTCCACGTCACGTCTGAGAGATTGTGAACAGCATTAACACCGAAATAAGCATATCCTCCGTCATATTCTTCGCCTACGTCGATGATGGAGTGACCAATCTCGTGTCGAAGGACCAACGCCCCGTTTGCTAGGGAGGCGGTAGTTGTCCTTCACACCTTCTGTTAGTATGATGAAGACCAAGAATTAATGCGGAATCGCAAACATACGTATACTCTCCACCAAGTCCTGGGCATAGGAAAGTGGTCAGTGTGATGCAGTATTTAAAGATAAGTACTGGATATCTTACCGCCGTATAATGGATCATTGCCTTTCGTAAGGAAGTAAGCCTGAGAGGAAAAGCTGAAGCAAGTATCCAAAACACGTACCAAGGAGAATCGCATAGTTACATTTATTTCCGAGAGACGCACAGGCCATTAAAGCAACATCAGAGTTATTTGCGTAAAGGCCCCTTAATTCCGTGCCATCGCGGTATAACCCAAAGGGAGTCCTGAGCCGGAATGTTTATGAAGTAAATGATTATGGATATGATAAGCACCTCTTAGCTTTCCCATTAACACCCACGCCACTCTAGATGATGGATGGATCAGCCTAGAGGTTGGTAGCCAATTTGGAAGAGCACTGACTTCTCGACTAGGTGAGAACACGGCCCAGAAGTTCAACAGAGGCCTGACAGAAGCAAACGTCTGATTTGTTGACAAGTCGGTAACCAGACGCATTGTATCATCAAGAAATTTATCTCTTTCACGCATTGTATCTGTACATTAGGTGAGGACTGAGGACATGACATGCAGAAAGACAGATGAAAACGCACACCCGTCGGAGAAGAAAGCAAGATCGATACGGTTGTCTGACGGCCCAGATTGCAAAAGACTGACGACTTCTAGCGGCGGGACGGGGACGTCCAACAGAATACCATGCAACACCCCTTGATCCCCAAATGACACTTGCGTCTCGAATCCATTGAGTCCACCTTGTCCAACAAACGATAAGTCATTCGAACACTCGAACTGCGCACGAAGCCATAATTCGTTGGTGTTATATGATAGAAACCGTATTATTTCTTCATCGCCAAGCAATCCAGTAGATGGTACAATGTTGTGCTGCCTGATTATCTGCCCTGATGTCGCTGGCAGGAGACTCTTGTGCAACTGTGTCTCGCCGAAAGACACGATGTCACATGAGCTAGTATTTGTTTCCCGTCGAAGAGTTAGTTGGTATGGTCGAGAATTCCAGTATGCACCAGTACTAGCTACGAGGGCAAATGCAACAGTACTAGTGGTCAGCAACGTCTTCATGTTTCATTGAACCAACCGTATGGTGATGAAAGGCTCAGAGGCGGGCGGCCCTCGATCTACACAACACCAAATAAAGCAGTAGCGAATTCTGCGCGTTTACCTGCGGAACTCAAGTACCCGCGTATAAGCATGGCCGTCAATCCGGACGAAGATACGGAATTGTGAGCAAATATTCTCTACCTCATCTACACTTGCCTATATACGTACCCAGCAACGATGCCCTCCGCAAGTACGGCATCATCCCTCCTAAAGAAACCACTCCCCCTACCCCTTCACCTCCAAGCTCTCCAAAGCTACAACATGTACTCGATGACCTCACTGTAGAAGAGCTAAAAGAACTGGGCGAAGAGATCACTGACGACGACATAGACCGCGATATCGATTTATATCGGAGGCAGCGATTAGCTCGAGAACAACTGCAGCAGAAACGCGCCCGCTTTGGGAGAGTTTATCCAATTGGACGCGATGATTATACCAGGGAGGTTACTGAGGCTAGTAAGATCGATGAAGAGGGTGATGAAGAAGAGAAAGGCACCGGCGTGATCTGCTTCTTATACAAAGATGGGTCAGTTCTCCTCTGTTCCTGGTAGCTCAGCTATTCATTTGAATAAACTATCAGAATTCCTCATAGTGACAGAACTTCTGGACATATACAAACTCTAGCAAGTCGATATCCGCACTCAAAGTTCGTGTCAATCGTGGGCAACAAATGCATTGCAGACCTCCCAGATTCTCGAATTCCCATGTTGATCATATACCGCAAGGGGGAAATACGGAATCAACTTATTGCGTGGGGCGCTGATCGTGAAAGACAGCTTGAAGGCAAGCTCATTCAATTTCATGATATCACTGCATATTAAGTTATGGATTTATTGCAGAACTCGAGGCCCTTCTGATTTTGTGTGGCGCCCTAGATCTTCCCCGCGGGCCACTCGGTGAACGACGAGCGCCCGATGGTGACGACTCAGAGGAAGAGGACGATGATACGTCTTCTCGCATGCGGTCTGCTACCACAAGTACGAACATTCGGGTACCCAAAAATATACGGGTGCAAAGCAAGAAAGACGACTCAGACTCGGAATTTGAATTTGACATGTAGTTTGCAACTGTGTCAGAATTTCAGGTGTACCAAAATGTACCCCTCTTTTGTTTCGTGCTGTGATTTTTCTGGCCGATCTGCCTTCTGTTGGTACGAACCTGCACTTTTTACGGCGTACGAGAGTTTCCTTATGTACCGAGCCCCGGATCTCCCCAGATATGCTCGCTCCACTTGGGACATTGCGAAAAAGGATATTACTTTGAAGGTTAGCGAATAACCCGAGCAGAGGGATGTCCGCAAGGTCACACTGAAACTTACCGTTGGCCTAAGTTGGCCTGCGCGATTTCTTCTCGATATATGATCTCGAGTTCCGCTCGGGAGCACAATCGTGGAAAATTATTGACATTCCGTGGCACCCACAACATCAGGCCACCTGGCGTGTAAATCTTTGGAAATGGGTAGTTTCTAACCAGACCTTCCGGGACCACCGATGAGGTTCTTCGGTGGAGCGTCGGCGATCGTGTTGTGTTCAATTCAGAACTTATCTGGTTCGAGAACAGTAATTATCATGCTTGTTACTCATTCGTTGTATATTGACTATGATCAAGGTCAATATCACGTGTCCCAAAAGACAGGACGTGTACCGTCACAACTACATGCCCCATCGGTCTAGCACGATATTATATTTGCCTACTAATCAAGCGTATAAAATCTGAATGACTGACAGGAGAACTTCGACGTCACTCTCGTACGTACTCATCCGTCTCTTTTACATACACAATCACTCCTCATTACACGCCCCATACGCGTTCACCTTTGATTCTCCGTCTCAATCAGCGTATTAATTCCTCTCCCCTCGAACAATCTCATCAGCCTTTTGATCTAAGACTGGGACCCTTTCCCGTTCCTAGTCCGAGCTTCTTCATTCTTTGAGATTGTTTCCCCGTAGTATCACCCCCCGAAAGATGACGGACTTCAATGAACCGGAGACTAAGCTTGAAGCTCTTTTGAACATTATCAACTCCTCTGCGCACCAAGCAATCGCAGAGTACAAGAAAACCGGACATGGGGTCCCCAGTGCCGACGCAACGACCTTCCACCCCCTCGACCTGACGACGGATACACTTGCCCTCAAAAAGGCGATCAGGCTGCTCGAAGGCGCATACCATCAACTGAGCTCAATACTGGCACCCCCCCAGCACACGGTGATGAATGTGAGTGTCGTTTGCAAATGATCTCCACTCTGTTGTTAATTTCCTTAGTTTGTTCTCAATTACAACTGGGTGTGCACAGACGTTGCCCTCCGAGCGCGTCTTGCAGATGTTCTGGACCAACATCCGGAAGGCCTTAGCGTGGATAAGCTGGCTGAAGCAGTCAACTTCGACAAGGTCAAGACTGCACGCGTCTTACGAGCTTTGACCCTCATGGGCTGCTTTAAAGAAGGTAATGTGCATGTTGTTGGTTGAGGATTGTCTCTGAAACATGTGATGCGTCAAAAAGTCGAGCGAGACGTCTTCGCAAACAACCGACTATCCCTTATACTCAAGTCAACGAACAACACTGGGTGTTATGCGCGACTTCATAGCCAGGATGTCTCGAAATCTGCCGGCATTGTGTATGAAACTATGATTGACGAAGAATTTTCAAGGTCTCATGAGATTGACAAAGCACCCCGGGTATTTGCCTTCAGAAAGGAGGGTATAGAGGTTAACCAATACGAAATGATGGAGGGTGACGTGAGTTGTTGTCATCACACTACCCCTTCACTACCTTGACACATTTTAGGAAGAGAAACGTGATGTATGTATGGTGTCATCCTCAAGTGATGGCTCACAATCCTCTGTACAGGCTTTTCACAGAGCCATGCTTGGCCAAAGTGATATGTTAGGCGCTTCTGCAGTGCTGCACCGTAAGCCATCACAGTTTTCGAATCATTAATATGTCTGACGAACAGGTCGTAAGACTATCCTTGGAACGATATATCATCTGTGGTGGATGTCGGATCTGGCATTGGAGCATTTTCCACTCCTCTGGCGAAAATGTACCCTCACCTTAGAATAACCCATCATGATCTCCCGAATGTCATGGTTCTAGCACGAAATGTGAGTTCAGATATCCAGTACACATAAGTATTCCAGCGGGCACACCGTTGATATCTGATTAGGCATGGGAGAGGAATGTTCCTGAGGCATTGCTTGACGGCCGCGTGGAGTTTATCCCGATTGATTTTCTCGAGGACGCACCTGTTGCTGGGAAGGATGTCTACTATGTAAGAGCCTAATCTCGTTTTCATTCGTCACCGGTAATTCGATCACCTTACTACATAGTTGAGGCACATTATCCACAATTGGCCGGACGCCAAGGCAACGACGATCCTCCGCAACATTCGCAAGGCAATGGGACCAAACAGCCGAGTGTTAATCCGTGAGTGCTATCTTCAATGTGGTGTTTACTCCAAAATCATTGCCTCGTGCTAGACGATTGCGTGATTTCCCACACATTTCAAAAGCCTGATGTAGAAACCAACGGATTAAGCGTCGTGAGTCTCAGAGTGCAGCCTGGCGTATTTCTGAATTCATGATCCCCAAGGCCCCTGAACCTATGTTGCCGAACTTCGGGGCAGGCAGTCACAACGCGTACCAAACAGACCTGACTATGTGGCTCACATTCAATAGCATGGAACGAACCTTGGAAGAGCTGAAGATCATTGGGCAAGTTCATTATAGATCTATCCGATTATCGACTAATGACGGTGGACAGGGCTGCCGCTGGTCTGGTGCTCACTCAGGTTTATGATCTTGTAGATACAATGCTCGTAGAGCTCAGGATCGCTCAGAGCTGATGCCAACAACAAGATCTCCAAATACATGGCCTGTGCCGTAGGTATTTAGCGCTATAGCAATCACGGATCTGCTCATGGAATCGTACGAGATACCGTGACTATGGACGACTTTGCTGTATGCTACCTACTTTTCATGCAACTGACTTCCTTGTCCCACCGTCTCTTTTACCAAACGTATTCCAATAACTTTCGCTTCGTAGGCATTGCCGGGGCTTACACTGGTGTCTCCCCTTCCGAGAAATATATGTGTCCAGCTTCGTTGCTTCTCCTCATGGCATCCGAGGCACCTCCGAGTCCTTGCTGTCAGTATTAGCTTTATATAAGCTGCCAGAAGGCATACTTAGAACTCGATGGTAGAACATCACTGGACAGGTAATGGCCTGAACCGCCTGTGTCGTTCCTTCGTTGAGCGCTGCAGGACTGTTGCCGTGCACCCCACATGGATGCGAAGGTACCCCTCGCGCTGCCAGTAGTTGTTCCGCTGACAAACGGTCAATGTTGCCCGTTTACCACGATAAATTTGCATTACTCATCGGGAACACCTCCTTGGTGTAAATTCGCTAGCTCGAATAGAGTAGGTCAACATCGCAGCGTCGGTGAAATGGCACATTTATGAGGAGTAATTGAAGATCTTGAAGAGTTGAGGTCGAGAGTTAGTCGAAAGGAGTCACAAACTCTAATACACGATTTTACGTAAAGGAGATGCCGGGGGCACGGAAGCAATACTAGACCCTGTGGAAGAACGGCGACGCTCTGGCGAAAATTGGCTCCATTCAATATTAAGATATTCATGTTGGGGCGAAAGCCTAGTATACACGAGCTGTACATGGACTGCACGCGCGTACCTCAAAGAGAAGTAGCAGGTCGAAAGCGAACTATATGTGCGGCTGTAAACACTGTCTCGGAAGCGGATGCACTGTGCGGCACAACCCGAAGTTATGCAAGTTACTTGTCATTTTGCTCGAAGCCTTTGCCCACATAGTTAGTCTGATCGAGGGAAGGCTCCGAGTCTTTGCTTGACTTGACTCATCAGTGGTACAACTTGTACTACAAGCCAGGCTAGCCTTGCGTCTGTGGTCTATCTCTACCCTTATTTGGAATTTGGATGTTACTCTGATTTGCAACCCAGCACCCAGCAGCACATCGTTCGTGGGGCTCTACTCGCTAGCGACGCCGACGCCGCTACAGCAATCCAGCGTCAAGCATGGCAGTACCTGCTGCTTGTTCCCGCCTATGTGGCCTGGCGAGAAGGAAAGAGTACCAACGAGCCCCAACAGCCTCCTCAAGCCCAGTCGGACTCGACGACAGTGCGCAACCTCTGTAGCCGGCCAAGCACAAGATGATTTCCGAGATCTTCGCGTCCTCGAACAGCCTTATGGCTCAAGAGAAGGAGTCCTAATATGTCTCTCGCTCGAAGCTTGTTGATGCCGCAAGTTTCTGTTTACCGTCGTGCTAACCGTTGTGCTTATGTCAAGGCGAACGTTCCCAGAATGTAACTCTCCTGCCTGGCAATCGCTTCTCTGCTTACCTTGTTATTGTTGCTTTCATCCTCTCGCTCTCCCAACTTGGTATCATGCCGTGGCAGATGAAGATTGTGGTTGTTGCGCATCTGTGATGTTTGCCAACTGTTCTGCTTGTTACTTGGATTCATGTTGTATGCGAATGCTGCACCGTTCTGCGCGTTCCCGCATTGTTCTATTTGTTACTGCTGCATCAATCTGTATGCTACACAATTCATTCACGTTCTTGGCATGAACACGCGATCCCCGATGTGTGGGTCTACTGAACGGCCTGCCGCGCCAAAATTTCTGTGGCTCATGGTTGACTTGTGGTCATATTCGCTCTGGCGGATGCACCGGTCTGGTTGACCGGTGGTGATCAAGTGATCACTGTTCGTGCTCCCACGGTGAATTGCCAGGAGTATTTGGCACTTGACTTGGACCGTGGCTGCCCTGCGCCCCATGCACCCCATGACCGACATGGAGACCCCAATGTCCTCCGAGTCGGCCCCAACATCCAATGCAGAGCTCGACAAACAGGCTCCGCCTTCATTTGGGCACGCTATGCACAAGTTATTCGAGTTTGACCCATCTTACGTGAACCTCAACCATGGTGAGTTCTATCAGGCGATATCAATATCGTACATTGGTTCATAGCCGATGCATCGAAGGCTCGTATGGTTCATCACCCAAACCAGTCAGAGTTGCATGTGATAAGCTCAACACTCGGATCGAAGCTAACCCAGACAAATTCTTGCGCATCGAGTGTATTCACCACTGGATCGAGGCTCGTACTCGAGTGGCCAAGCTGATAGGGGCAGATGTTGATGAATGCGTTTTGGTGAATAATACATTACATGGCATAAGTACAATTCTCCGCAACTTCGAGTGGCACGAAGGGGATATCATCATTGAGAGTAGGTCAATAATCACCACATATGAAGTCCCCCCACTTATTGTTATTCTCTTTCCCCATAAAATAGCGACCACAACTTATAATGCCGTGTCCCGAGCGATTAAGTATCTCGGAGATATCCCACCGTATCCACAAGTATCCATATTCAATCTTCAGTTCCCTACCACACACGCGGATATACTGGAAAAGCTGGCAAGAACATATCCGCCAGGTGACTTTGGAAAAGAGCGACCTCCAGCAGACTCGCAAGGTCGTCACCGTAGTAGACGCCATCGCGGCCAACCCTGGGGTACGTCTTCCTTGGAAAGAAATGGTGGCCATTTGCAGGGGTGCAGGTGTTTGGTCAGTGGTGGATGCCGCGCATTCAATTGGCCAGGAAGTGGATATCAATTTGTCGGAAGCGAAGCCTGATTTTTGGATATCGGTTAGTCTGTCAATTCTGACTTGTGATACTGTGTTCTTGACCAGCTGAGCTGAACAGACTTGCCACAAATGGCTCTTTGCAAAGAGAAGTTGCGCAGTCCTTTATGTGCCAAAACGGTATGTTCCAACCTCCCAGAAGTATCATATCGAATGACATCCAATGGGATGGGCTAGAAACCAGCATGTTATCAAATCTTGTATACCCACTCCACGCAATTATTGCTCACCTCGAGACAAGGATTACAATGGCCCACAAAGTTTCGTGAATCTTTTTGAATGTTAGTTCTCTCGAAAACACTATAACTTCGAGCGATCATGTCTTATTGATTGCTAGGGACGGGGACCATAGATTATGCTCCATTCATAAGCGTGAATTCAGGTTAGTGCGAAGTTGTCATCGACACCACTGTTCTGACTTGCGACTAGCCTTGGACTTCAGACAGTGGCTCGGCGGCGAACATAAGATCAACAAATACACTCACAATCTCGCAATCGCAGGTGGGAAGTATTTGGCAAGTCTCCTAGGAACTAGTGTAATGGACCCTGACGGTGACTTGACTTTGAATATGGTGCGTTAATGCAGTTTTCTATTTCTTCGTTCACTTCATGTTCCTTGATCAGGTTAACGTGGAACTGCCCATTCCTGGCGACATTAAATATTCGAATGAAATTAACAACCTGCTGAGAACTACGTTGTTAATTGAGTGGAACGTGTATGCTATTCATTACTACCACAACGGAAAATGGTGGACAAGGTGTAGCGTGCAGATATGGAACGAGGTGAGAAGAGTCTATTCGTGAAGATATCGTCTTGATTCTTACCCATAAAAATAAGATTTCAGACTTCGAAGTTCTCGCCGATGCTTTCAAGGACGCGTGCCAGAAAGTAGTGAAGTTTGCGAGGCAATAAATACTCACTTCGTGTACGAATATATTCCTTACAAAAAAGAGATTATTAGAACAGACTGGCGCCAAGAAGATCTACCTGCTGACTAAGCCAAGGGACTAAAGGTAGCGGAACAAAAGCTGTTAGATGCAACTTCAAGGGCGCACACCATGGCGAAAACCGAATTAATCGACTCCCGTATTTCCGTGAAACAGTGCACACGGGCCGTACATGCACTGCATGCATATGCCTTGAAAAAACAAAAGGAACAGGAGGAAAACGAGCTTTTACCATCCAACGAGCAATATGTATGGCTACAAATTACAGTGAAGCGGATGCACCCCGAACACAAGATCAAACCATTCAAAATGTACGTTTTACTGCTCTTTAACGAATGTACAATTGTGACATTTCCAAGCCCACTTAAGCATCCTCTCATCGATCCACGAGTTACGCCTGTCTGTCTCATCACCAAAGATCCTCAGCGAGAGTACAAAGACCTTATCGAGTCTCATAAAATCAAATTCGTATCAAGGGTCGTTGGGATCACAAAACTCAAGGGCAAATTCAAGTCCTATGAAGCCAGGCGAATGTTGCTAAAAGAGAATGGAATGTTCCTGGCAGATGAACGTGTTATTCCATTACTGCCGGGCTTGTTGGGAAAGAAATGGTTTGATGCAAAAAAGTAAGATTGCTCGAGACTGCCTCTATCGCGAGCATATCTGAATTTATCTCGCAGACAGCCAATCCCGGTCTGCTTGACACGCAAAGACCTTAAGGGTGAATTGGAGCGAGCCATCGAGTCAACCTACATGCATCAGAACAGAGGAACGTGCACGTGCGTCTATTTTTACCTGCCTCCTGAACGCGAGCCTGATCCAACGCTGGTTGTCAGGTCTGTTAAGATTGGACTACTATCGCACGCGCCAGAAAAAGTCATTGACAACATCAAAATATCTCTCCCTGCTATCGTGAACAATATAAAGGGTAACTGGGATAACGTTCAAAGTCTTCACATCAAAACAAATTCAAGTATCAGTTTACCGATATGGACATGCGAACTCGGAGATGCGGCTGGTGGACGGTGGGATGGTATGGTCCAGTCCAAGGACAAATCTGAGGAGAGTAAGTCAGATGAGGACTCTGATTCTAATGACACAGACATGGATTTGGAGGAACACGTGCCGGAAGTGCCGGTCAGCAAGGGTAAGAGCAAGGGCACGAAGAAACACCTGGACGAGATTGTTGAGAAGTCCGAGTCAGTTACGCTGAAGGAGGTGAAACAAAAACGGAGCACTGAAGGAGCAGAGAAGAAGAAAGTGAAGTTTGTGAAAGGCGCCACAACAAAGAGTGTAAAGGGAACCCTCATTGGCAAAAAGCCAGGTCGACCGTGATTACTGCTGCTAGGTAGTATGTCATTGAGCAGATATGTATTGCTGATATTGCATGATTGTTTGCGAGCTTGTTCAGATATCTCAATATTCCTTCACCTAGGCATATACTGCTGCCAACGCTCTTTCCAAACGCCATTGTTTATATGCTACTGAAAGTATGTACAACAGATTTTGGGTGAGTAATGGCAAATATTGTGACTCCGAGTGCCGAACACTACCTTCCTTTTTTGTCATCGTTTCTGATTGGGTCGGTACTCAGTACTTGCCGGTACCACTCTGTGCCATTGTCATCTTGCCTTTTCCTTCACACCTAGCACAATGGCCAGTAGGAAGTCCACAAAACTGCGTGTACCGCATTCTCAAGATGATTGCGAGCTGGTTGGGATTTTGGAACAACTGGCACCTAAAGAGTCCACGCAGGGCAGAAAGATTGCCCTGGTATGATGCTGATCATCATCCCGATCTTACAAAATTACTTGACTCATTGTATGTTCCAGATTCTCCACGGGACTATGGGGTACGTTTCTACTATTTCTGCTCTTCTCTCTTCTTATTCTTCTTATCTCCAGGCATAAAGACTACTTGTTCCAAAAGCGTCTTGCACTACGGTTTCCGATGGACTCATTCAGATTTGATTTCCGGTCCGTCAACCGTTCATCTTGGCGTCAATCCCTATTCATATAGAACAGCGGCAATCACGAAAGTGGTGGCCAACGGACACAAGGTGGATTTGCGAAGGACGTCGAGGACCTCGTGACGGTCGTTTCTTACCTCGGCGATACGTATGGGTACGAGATTGATGTAGTGGTGGGCCATTCTCGTGGTTCTGTGGTGGGGATGTATTGGCTATGCACGTCAGAAGAAGGCAAACGTGCTCGTGCTATGGTCAATGTGTCAGGCCGTTACCGAATGCATGTGAGAGAAATCACCTCCTGTGTGCCACAGAATAACTGAAATAGCCGTCATTAGCGAATTTACGGTAAGTTCAAGAGTTTCGAAGTCCAGCCAATCGGTCATCTGATCTTAATTTCTAGACGTTGCCGAGGCCTACAAAGAGCAGTGGGACGCCAAGGGTTACTACGAGCGGACCGTGACAGTTGCTCGACAAGCAGTTGTGGAAAGGATCTATCCACGCGATCTAGAGGAGTTTTCTCAGTGGAATACCGCGATTGTTTGGGATAAATTTCCTGATCAAATCCATGTTCTGACAATGCATGGTCTCGTCGATAAGACAGTTCCTACGTGAGTGTTTGTGAACTGATAGCGAATGACAGGGAAAAAAATTCCCATTGCATCAGATATGATGCAGTTATTTACTCTCGGGCACTTGGTGCCAGAACGCCTGGAACCCACAGCCTCCATTTAATAGAGGAGGCCGATCACAATTTTACAAATGTGAATCTCGATTCCTATCGTCGTGGCCACTGCTAACAATATACCTAGCGCCAAGACGAGGTTGTAGACTGCATCCTAGAGTGGTGGGATGCTCTTAACCAAGGACGCTTGGAAACAGGCATATTAATGACAGGCGTACGTGGAAAACTGTGATTACGAGTGCCTGGTCCTTGCGAAAACTAGTCGAATACACGTTGTTTTTCCTGGACACTATGTAGTGGAAATGTATTCAGTGAGTCCACCGCGCTGCGCTGTCCACGCCATTCTTTGGACAGCTTGCGAATTTCCGCTGTGCCGCAGAATTTCTGGGCGCCACAGGCTCTCGTGTTCGACGGTCTCACCTGGTAGTTCACTCGTAATGCAGTATTTTAATCCCATTTTTCATGGCACGGAAAAGCCAGAAAACATCGTCAGCTGTGTAGTTTCATTTCCTCGCTCGGGATAATCCCCTGGTGAATGAGTTGAAACACAATAGAAAGTTGAAACAACCACAATAGTGCATCATTGATCACCCGGGATACCCGTCTCCGTGGTCAGCACCGCATACTACTTGAATGCGCAGTAGAGCACTTTAACCAAACTTGTTTCAGGCCGTTGATGTGTCGGATCCCTGGTAAAGCACAGGTTGCTGATCGGCAATCACTCCTTCATGCCACTATGTATGCACTGCACTGAGCGTGTTATGGGAGTCTTTATCACGGCTGGGCGTTTCTCGGACAGGGTGACAGGCCGGGCGTCCTCGTCCTCGTCTTTGATGCTACCAAATCCGTGTATCCGGACAACTTCGGAGATTCTCGAACAAGTGTGGCGCCAGACCTATACGCAGCATTGATACTTTCGATAACCCGCAGGCGCCACCGCAGTGCAATGTCCCGCTGAGTACAATCAGATTAACTCCGGTGATTACTAGTTACTAGTTACTGTAATCAGATAGCAAATCAAATGCCAAATACATAGTAAAATCTGTGGTGAATCAAAGTATGGTCCGTATGATAGAGCCTAGATTTAGCCAGGATTGATCTTCTTCCTCGTGTTCCTTCCCTGCAAATCCTCTTTTGCACATATTAAATTGTGATTATGCGGCAATACATCCCAGCGTAAGCGGTGGGGAGTCTGAAGGTGGTGGCGAATTATGATAGTGATGTATGATTATGGGGATGTTGAAAAACGGGAGCGTGCTCAGGGAGCGAACGCTAGACACCATGTGGCGTCGGGTGTGCTTAGGCAGCAAAATGCTCCCACTTCAGAAGAACACTGGTACGACTGTGCTAGCACCAGCACGGATGGTGGTGCGCTGCGACGAGTATTGTGACGACTGCGGGTGTGATTGACCACGCGAGTCTGGATGGCTCGAAGGTGATTGGGAGCTGGGATTGCTCGAGTACGACTTGGATGAAGCGTAAGCAGCTTGTGAAGTGTTGGAGGTGTTGTATTGGCTGCTCATGACGCGTTCGAGGTAAGTTCTGGTACACTGAAGTGGTGGTAGGAGTGCTTTCTGAATGAGTGTGCTAGCATTGCAGGCCGAGTCTTTATAGGTAGCAGGTTCATCGCCTTGCTGTATTGAATTAAGAAAGATTCCAAGATCTGGACTGCCGGGACCGACACCGTGACAGGCCCGATCGAGAATAAAGGAAGGGGTACTACGTACTCTCACGGATACGCAATGGCTTGGGAAGGCACATCAACTTTGCTTGCGAGCTTATTAATATTGACGCTCATCTAAGGGTAGCGTTTTACCAACGGCTGCCAACCAGGTAGGCCTGCTGGGTAGCACAGGCTGCCGCTCGTTCCTGCCACAGATCCGCTGTGTACGTAGATCGGCGTTTGCCGCCCCGCTCTCACACGCTTCTTACCTCCGATGCTGTACAGATCTGGTTCTGGATGTGACACCCATTCTGGCGAATAGTCTAAAGTATGCACCCTTTTATTAGGAACCCTTCTCTTCTTCCAGTACTTGTCGGATTCTCCTTCCATTTGTTTTCCCCGAAGCACTCGGCGTATGCTGTAGAGGTATACTTATGATTGCCGATTTGTTTGACGGGCACTCATCATTCAATGTCACTGAGGTCCGAACTTCCGAGTCATCCAGTGTCAAAGCTTGGTCAAATCCAGTTGGTAAGTTTGATGACTAACGTTCCCTTCAAGGCACGTTCTCGCTAGTACTCTTCTGTGAGATAATATGAAAGCAATTGTCTGGCTAAATTCGTGCCTGATGCTTGGACGTAGTATCATACAGTGAGTCATGAAAATTAGGGTGACCACTGAATATACCCTTCTTTGAAACTCGCTCACCTTGGCGGCGAAACACAACTCGATACCGAGGTCCCGAGGAACCCCCATCTTGTAATGAGTCTGACAATAGCAATGCAAAGGCAGCGAACAAGGTTACATGTAACTTAGGGCACACACTAGATTTGACCTTGAAGAATGAACGATTGAATTACGGGGAGCCCCGTTGTTCCTGTCATCGGCTTGATTTGGGGTTCAGTACGGTATATCAATCATTCTCGCACTGTCTGTGGTAAGCGGACGTTGACATCCGATGACTCCAAAGCCCACAGCACATTGGATCACGTAGTTCATGTTCAATAAATAAATCTGTTTGGCAGCAGCTATTGATTCCATATCGCACTGCCTGCCTTGATGCCGTGCAAAAATTTACCCATACAAATAAGCGCTCGAATTAAGCGAACAGTTGGCAGATTCTTGGAACATGTTGATGCTGTTCGGGTTCAATCTACTGAACTTCGACAATTATCTTCCCGCTAACAATGAAGTCTCGGCCACCGTTAGATCTTCCGATGGAGACAGAGTGCTCACCTATTCTTATTGTCAACCATCTCATGATGAGCACTTTGAATCTCTGTCCAAGGATACACCTGTGGAGTTGTGTGTCCGTCTCCGACGGGATGAGAAGAGCAGAAGAATGTACTCACTTTGTGAATGTAGGTCCGCATCGGGCCACCTCCGTTGGCGCCAGTTACCTTATCAATCATATCACGGAAACTTGAGCTTATAAGATAAGTTAGTCTGAAAGGGAATCACATCAGGCAAATATTATGATGATACCTTGCGATGAGCTCGGTCTGATATTGTAGACTACGGGAACGCAACGTAGAACCTTGAATGCGAAGACGCTTGTAAAGGATCGGGCCAAGGTTGACTGCGGGGACCTCGCTCCCTAGCCAACCATTTAGTCACGAGTTTTTGGAATTCAAGACATAACAAATGCCCACCACTCAAAGTAGCCAACATCGTCATCCTACCATCAATGGCGAGGGATTCCACATTCTTGGCCCAATGACTTTGTCCAACGAAATCTATGACAACATCGACACCTTTACCGTTGGTCGTTTTCTTCACCTCCGCGGCAAAGTCTTCAGTTCTGTAATTGACGGTATGCGTGGCCCCGTTAGGAATAGACCGCAGCCAATTAAGTTTTTCTGTGGTAGACGCCGTTGCAGTAACGGTTGCCCTGTGAACACGAGGTGATACGTATTCAGTAAGAACGTGCAGAACAAGGCAGAACAGCATCGAAGGCAGTGGGGGCCGGGATACTGAATACCGGAACACTCACGCTCCTGATTCTCTCGCTATTTGGATAGCCGCAATGCCTACACCAGAAGCGCCTGCATGAACGAGTACATGATCGCCCTTCTTGACTTCCCCGTACTTCACAAGAGCTTGATAGGCTAAGAATGACCCCAGAGTAGTCAGAACCGAAGACGACCGCTTGGCTGATCTGCCGTACTCACCTGTAATATAGCATTCTGGTATACTGGCTGCCTCTACCCAAGATAAGTGACCGGGCTTCTTCAACAAGAGTCCTTCGTCACAGTTTACGAACTCCGCATAAGCTCCCTGAGGTACCCGTGACAATTTTAGTCAGTCAAGAACATACACTTTAGCTTGGGCAATCGACTAACGCCGCCCACAAGACCGAATACTTCATCCCCAACAGCCCATCTTGTTGCTCCTTCCCCGAGTTCAGTCACACGTCCAGAGAATTCCACACCAAGAATAAAGGAAGCGCCTTGGGGTACAGGGTAGCCACCCTGACGCTGATGATGGTCCATGCGATTAATGCCGAATGCGACAATCTACCACGAATATTCCATACCGGACTAGATCAATTTGCGTAGATCCATAATATGAAGAAAGGCACGGACCTTTACCAAAACCTCTCCCCTGGTTGGGACTGGCTTATCTGTCTCCCCAATGTAGAGGTTCTCGATGGGACCCTGACCGTCTTTAATTAAAACAGCGCGCATTTTGGACATCACTACACTAGCACGGAGTGTCGTTGTTCGGACGATCGTTGTTCTGTGTCTATGATGCGTGATGCGCGTGGATGTTTGAATTTGAACAAATGGATCCTATCTGTAAACATCGGCTCCCCACCAGAATATACATTTCAAATTGGAATAGCTAATTATAAGAGGTTTTGTATTCCACGAAAATCCAGCGACAACCCAGCTGTCTCCGGAAAGAATGGCCCGTAGATATCGCAGGGAAGTCTGACTTCAGAAGTTGTTCAAAGGTCACCGCTCTCGAAGCAACGATGTTTAGTCGGTAGTATGATCGAAAGTGAATTCAAATGGTGGATATGATTGCCTGATCGATGGCGAGCACCGTGAAATCGCGAGAGTCGGATACGAAACCAGATCGCAGTCGCCGTCCTTCCCTGTTCTCAAGTTCTTTTCCACCGTGCAGGACTATCAGCTGAACTGTCCTATAAATGCTCACCACTGGGGGGATCACAAGGTGGACCGTGCGATGCACAGGAGATAAGAATAGTATTCCGCAGGACAACCACAAGGCATGGGTCATCATTCCAACGTGGAAGGAGATACTCATCTGATAGAAGGCTCACTGTTCTGCCGACAACCACTTTTAGACGTTCATTAACAAGTTCTCATGTCAATGCGCTGACCACACACGACGCCTGAGTATGCGGAAATGAGTCGAGAGTGGCCAGCTTTTGGCATGATCAACCTCATTCAGTTCGACCCTATCGTTCGTACCGAGAGAGTGGTAAGACTACGCGTCAGCGCAAGAGTAGAACACCGGAGGATAATAAAGCTAGTGGGATAAGTCAGCATTGCGAATGCATCGCGCATGACTCAAGCTGCTACTGCCTCATGGTTGATTGCAACGCGGGTAAATTCAAATTCCTGACCTTGAGTTCGAGGTTCAAACAAGACCACGAGTAAAGCACCAGCGAATAAATTGGCACAAGTTATCATCCATGTATTAAGGATTGCAGATGCAAATTCCCTAAGGCGAGTATTGAGTTTCGTTGGACCAAAGTTGTGGAACAAAATAATACCGTCCCAACTTGCCAAGACACCGTTGAATTGTCGTCTATCCGTATTGGGTGGTACCTACCAAGCTCGCTGTTGCATAGCATCGAAGTCGCCGTCCTCGATAAGTAATAGATGTTGTAAAGCCACTAGAGCCTATAATAGTAGCCAAGGCAGCAGTTCTTGGCACTTGCCAGTATAAATAAGTACTGCTATGAGTCGGGGAAAACCGCTATGGTAGTGCTCGGGCGGAAGCGGCTGAGTAAGCGGAGCGGCTGGCCAAACATACATCATCATTGACATTGACGACCGGCGTCGAACTTACTCACAGCTCACTGTTTCGCTTGTGCTCGACGTTACAAGTAGTTTGGAAGCGCAAAGACCCTTTATTGCAATGGCGCAGTCTTACTTTCCCGCCCCAGCTCGATCATCTTCGTCGCTGGCGAAGGAGCCTTTGATTTCAAATCATGGCGGTGAGAAGCATTTAAAGGTGGAGGATGTCCAAGAAGCCTACATTGAACAAAAGGATCGGTTTGTTTGGAATCTTTCCTCACGTTTTATTTTCTAATGCGTTAGGTAGTTTGATCCAGGCCCTTGATTCCTCCAAGTCTATTCTTGGGGAACTGCGTCGGTTCAACAAGGAGGAGTGGGTGGTAAGGTACCCCACTTTACACGAGCAACCCTCCGCGGAGCCTTCATCGCTGTCAAGGACAAAGCCCCGTCGCTCTCTTCGCCGTTCGCTTTCGTTCGCAGATGATCCAAACAACCAAACGGAAGTTCTTTATACTCCTGTGCGAGAGGGCCTGAGCCGGGCTGTCACACTGGCACCAATTTCTGACGCCCCGGAAGGCACTGATGTCAAGCCTGCAGATGAAGACATGAATCAGGGCGAAAGGGATACATGCGAGGGGGAGAGGTTGATGTTGTCGTCCAAGGATGGTGACTTTAATATCCTTCGCCTGGACCTCAAGCTCGGTCCCCACGGCTCCACCACATCCCCTGCCGCTCTCGTATCACACCTCGAAAAGGGTTCTATTGCCAGTTTATTGGACGAACGTATCGGTGCTTCCGTCAATCATATGGATAAGCTCCGCCTTCGTGTGGAGGACACTTCATCAAAGGTTCTTGTCACCGGCGACCTTAATTCTGGAAAGTCCACTTTTGTCAATGCCCTTCTTAGGCGTGAGGTGATGCCAATTGACCAGCAGCCTTGCACAACCGCCTTTTGCGAAGTGCACGATGCTGCCGAGAATAATGGCAAGGAGGAAGTTCATATTATCGAGGAGGGTGCGGCGTATAGCATCTCGGACGAATCGACCTTCACTCGCGCTTCGCTTACTGAATTGGAGACGATTGTCTCAGACAATGAGGGTGTTCAGCCAGTCTTGAAAATGTACCTTTCCGACAGCCGGGCACCATCGGAATCATTGCTCAATAATGGGGTCGTTGACATATCCCTGATTGATGCACCCGGTCTTAACCGCGACAGTTTGAAGACAACGGCTCTCTTCACTCGCCAGGAGGAGATTGACGTCGTTGTCTTTGTCGTTTCCGCCGAAAATCACTTCACTTTGTCCTCCAAGGAATTCCTATCGAACGCTAGCAATGAGAAGGCATACCTTTTCATTGTCGTGAACAAGTTCGAGCAGATCAAAAATAAGGAGAAATGCAAGAGGTTGGTGCTGGAGCAAATCAAGCAGCTGAGCCCTAGGACGTACGAGGACGCTGAAGACCTTGTCCACTTCGTTGATTCTGCCGCTGCTCTTCGACCGTACACAGCCAATCCAGCATTCGACGACCTGGAGTCCTCGCTTCGTTCGTTCGTTCTCGTCAAACGATCCAAGTCAAAGCTCCAGCCTGTCATGACCTACCTCTCCAACCTCCTATCTGATGTTGATCTTTTGGTTGGCGCAAATGCCATCGTCGCCCAATCTGATCTTGACCGTGCTGAAGATGATTTAACTCGTGTCAAGCCAGTCCTTGAGAAGATGAAGGGGAGCCAGGAACTATTGGAAGAAAATCTGGAGTCTATAGAGGAATCGGGGGCAGAGAAGACGAGTGCCAGAACAAAGGCCATCCTTTCCTCTGCCATCGAGCGCGTCGGGCAAGGCCTGTCTGGGGTTGATCATGCTACCATTTCTCTGCCAGCTTTCCCTGGATTCCTTCGCATTTGGGATTATGCCAGGGATGTGAAGAAGGCTCTGCTGGCGAGTTTGGATGCGGCTGTGAAGTTGGCTGAGGATGAAGCGCGCGTCATTACTTCTGCAGGGGTGAAGAAGATCGGGGAGCTTGGCGACGTCAATCTTCCTGAAGGAGTCGAGAAGTCGCGGAGGGTATTCATGCCCGAGGCCATGTTCTCATTGCGTTCAGGCAAGAAGGGACTCCGTCGCCGTTCCTCTGTAACAGCCACCGCCGTCGTGGCTGGAGGGGTCCACAACCTTGGCATTGGCCTCTCCCAGCGCCCGGACATGCTCGACACGTCTGCTCTCGACATCTTTGACTTCCATCGGCTCTGGCCTCACTTTGCTGATGATAAGAAGGAAGCAGAGGATGTGGCCAGTCCTACCACTGCGCTTAGCGTGGTCTCCGTTGGCGTCAGTGCGCTCACAATGGTTGGCGGTCAGACGTTCGGTGCCCGAGGCATTGTAGATGGTATCGTACGCATTTCTGAGCTGTTCGGAAACGAGACTGCAAGGAAATGGGCAGCTCCTGTTCTGGGCGCTTTCGTTATCGGTGCAACTGCCTACTTTATCCTTGAGCTACCCAACACCATTCCACGTACCATCGGTCGCCGTATTCGGACATCCCTAGTTGCCGTTGACGAGAACGCAACCGAGGACGAACTCTTCGTTAATGCCCATGCTGGCCGTGTCAGTAGGGAGACACGCAAGGTTTTGCGCCTGGCGTCTTGGGACCTCAAGGAGCGCTTCAGAGCCGCGATGGAAGAAAGAGGCAAAGAAGTCAAGAACGCAGAGGAGATGGAGAGGAAGGCCAAGAGAGCACTCGAGTACTTCCTGGAGGTGGAGGCAAAGACGGGTTTGATTAGAAATGATGCTGGCTTGACCAGTGTCTTGTAAGATCATCACGCTTGTTTATTTTCTTGCACCCTTACCACCTTGCTGTCTTCGTTCGTCCTTCTGCGCACCATGATGTCTTTGTCGTTGTCGCTCACTGTCGTTGATTGATCTTTTTATTGTTTTGTTTCGTCTTTCATGCACATGCCTTTAACGTAGAATAGCAATGAAATTTCCGCACGTTAGGTGATCGGAATGTCACTATGTTTCAGCACAGACGAAATATTTCTACTTGCCTACGCTAACTACAGCTAGTAACTAGGTCGACTTGTGTGCGCCAGTGACAGAGTTGTATCCCCAATAGAATAAAATGGACTGCATTTAATATAGATTTACAACCCCTCGTCATACAACTTTCGAGATAATGCCACATAGAATCTCTCCAGATCCAATTTAGAGGCTAGCTCATGCTTGACAGACTTCTTGACCTTCTGCTTCTGTGAAGTGTCTCCAGGGGGAGACTTGTTCGTCGATGGGACCTGATCGATGATCCAATCAAACACAGCGGAGAGCTTATCCGTTGACGCTTTCACAACAGGGTCACTCTCGCCCTCCTTGTGCATCTCCTCCCTAGCCCCTCGAGAGACTCTCGGGTCCGATGACGACATCGAAGATCCACCAGCACCAGCGAACTCATACCCACCAGACGACCCTTTCTCTTGCTTCTTCCACGCCCGAATAAACTTCGACCAGTCGCCAAATGCCCACCCATCTGCACCGACGCGACCCGCTATGCTCGTCAAGGGCACAGACGACAAGTCGACATTGAATTCCAGCCCCCGTGCACCTCTGATCTCCCAGTGATCGCAACCCTCCATTGTCCCGAGAAATTCGCCCCACCTTGCACTCTGCACGGTCACGAGGCCGTCATTTCCCCACTGGTCGTCCTGCTCCCATGTCAGAGGCGCGTGTATATCCCCCGAGTCGGTGTGTTGGCGTCTGAGGCGTTCCTTTTCTTCTCGTTCCAACTCATCAAGCACCATCTTTGGGAGACAAAGCGGGTGCCAGATGCTCATGTCGGCAGTACGTCCAGTGACGCTGAAGTACTTAACACGTGGATCATTGGGGGTGGCAGGATTGAATACGTTGTTAAGGTAGGACGATGTCAAGTTGGCATATGCTGGCGAGTCCAGGATGGACAACAAGAGCGTTGTGAAAGAAGACGGCAATGAAGCCAGTGACAAGGAGAATGAAGTCTCGCGCTTCTCAGTGGTTGTCTCTTTTTCTGACATAGACTGCTCTTGAATCTCGGTCGTTTTCTTGAACATTTCTTCCTGGGGTCGTCTGCCGAGGCCGATATTTGTCTTAGCGTCAGGTGAAGTGAATGCACTGCAAAGCGAGAACAAAATTTTGGGAACTTACCGCACACCAGTCCATAAAGGGGCTTCCTCTATGGGGAGTACTGATTGTTGTCAGCGATAATGGGGTATATTCACTTGGCTGCACGTGTGTAATGAGATGGCGGCAATCGAGACCTCCCATGGAATGAGCCATGAAATTGACACCTCGCCCTCTGGCCTTCTCCTGGAGTAATCGATCAAGGTTTTCTGCCCTCGACGCTATGGAACCCGTCCTAAGTAGAAAAAATCAGAAATGGTCTGATAATAAATTTAATGACCGTACCCGGGTACCGCTGTGACAATAACATCTGCTCCGACCTTCTTTTTGAGGATGTTGAGAACGTTGGCCCAATAGTGCATTCGGAGACTGGGAAATGCAGCAGGACCTCGCACGTCAAACCCGTATAGCCCTATATATCAACGTGTGTGGTTCACTCTAATTAAGCAGATTAAGATGAGCTAACCGTGGCAGAGGACAATCGGAAACCTAGGGGCTCTGATAGGGTCATACAGCGCTGGATTTCGCAGTAAACGATGGATGGTATCAGTGGAATCACCCTCGGATGGTTCTTGAGGTGGTAATTTCCCCTGCGGCAATTTGGAATTGAGAGTGAATGTGTCAAGAGCAGTGGTATGAGGCTCAGATGGGACTTTGGAATCAGAAGGAGATAGATTTGGCGGCCATGATTTGGTATCGTCTTTAAAGAAGCATCGGCCTGTTTATGGACGACTACATGAGTCTGGTGAACACTGGTGAACGTCAAACGAGGTGACTTGCCTTCCAAGGTCCGATGAGGGAGCGTTGAAGTCAGGGGTTTGGTTGGTTGCTCCAGAACACTATTTACAAATAACCCTACACGAAGCCAGTCCCATTTATTCGGTGACAGCGGGTTCCACCAAAAGTCATTGGGAGTGGTGGGAACTTCAGGTGTGTTACTGGAGGTATCTTCGACCCTGACCTTCGATACGAGGTACTGGCCAGATAGTGAAAAGGTAGCCATGACATTGACGAGGCGCCGAAATAAGGCTACGACTTGAACTGGGAAGTGGACGTTGTTCATGATTTCGTTGGAGAAACATGCATGAACGTGACTGAGTCGGAGCAATCAAATGAGTTGCTTGATTAGGGTGGTCTGATCCATTATTCAGATTTGGGACATTTTCGAGTCACAGCTGAAAAGCGCTGACCTCCTGCCTTGATCACACAAAATGTCAGACGAAGAAACTCCACAGAAACATCACGAAGAATCAGACTCTGAAGAAGAAGAGGAGGAACAGCTGGAAGATGTCCCAAAGATTGATATAGATATCTCAAAGCTGACGCCACTTTCGCCTGAAGTAATATCAAAACAGGTGCGCAAGCAGCTTTCCTTTATCTGAGGCATCTCATCGACCACGATCCTTTCAGGCTACAATAAACTTGGGTACGCAGAGTTCTGCGAGTACATATAAGTTAGCCATTGATTGGTCTCTACAGGAACGATCGGTCATGTCGCACACGGAAAATCAACAGTTGTGAAGGCCATATCAGGCGTCATGACTGTACGATTCAAAAACGAACTCGTTCGTAACATCACGATTAAGCTAGGTTATGCAAATGCAAAAGTATGTTCCTTCTGATTCGCATCTGATCCATTGTTAATCTCGAGACCCACCACCATAGATCTACAAATGCGAGAACGAGGCATGCCCCCGCCCAGGCTGCTATCGATCGTACCGCTCAGACAAGGAAGATAATCCTCCTTGCGAACGACCAGGATGTGGTCACCGGATGAAACTCATTCGTCATGTTTCCTTCGTGGACTGTCCCGGTCACGACATTCTGATGGCTACCATGCTTAACGGTGCCGCAGTCATGGACGCTGCCCTTCTTCTAATCGCAGGAAATGAGACGTGTCCTCAGCCGCAGACATCGGAGCACTTGGCAGCGGTTGAAATCATGAAGCTGGAAAACATCATTATTTTACAGAACAAGGTCGACTTGATCAAGGAAGCCCAGGCTCTTGAACATCAAAAATCAATCGCTGCATTCGTCAAGGGTTGGTACTTGGTGACATGGACTATTCAATGATGTACTAATTCTCACAACAGGCACGGTGGCCGAGTCGTCTCCCATAGTTCCGATATCTGCGCAGCTGAAATACAACATCGACGCTGTCAACGAATACATTGTAAAGCGTATACCCATCCCAGTCCGCGACTTTACCTCCGATCCTCGTCTCATCGTTATCCGTTCCTTCGATGTCAACAAACCTGGTGCTGAGGTCGACGAGCTCAAAGGCGGTGTTGCCGGTGGTTCTATCCTCACAGGAGTTCTAAGGCTAGGGCAAGAAGTCGAGATTCGTCCGGGAATTGTGACGAAAGACACTCAGGGCCGCAACCGCTGCAAACCGATTTTCAGCAAGATCGTGTCTCTACACGCGGAGAACAATCACTTGCAATTTGCAGTTCCGGGAGGGTTGATCGGTGTTGGAACCAAGATTGATCCTACACTATGTAGAGCGGATCGTCTTGTTGGTCAAGTGCTGGGTGCGGTCGGGAAGCTCCCGAAAGTCTACACTGGTAAGCATCCTCGTTTTCGCCAAGCTAGTGGGTTCTAATGAGAATTCAGAGCTTGAAATCAGTTTATTCCTCTTGCGCCGTTTGCTGGGTGTTCGGACAGAGGACAAGAAACAAACCAAAGTCTCGAAACTCGCTAAGAACGAGCTCCTTCTGATTAACATTGGTTCAACATCGACTGGTGGGCGCGTATTGAGCGTGAAAGGGGATCTCGCGAAGATTCAGTTGACTTCACCGGCATGCACTGAGGTTGGAGAGAAGGTCGCGCTTTCGAGACGTATCGAGAAGCATTGGCGACTTGTAGGCAAGTGTTTCTGTAGACTCAGTAAACCCATTTGCTGACTTGCCGTCAGGTTGGGGAAGTGTACAGCGCGGAACGGTGTTAGAGTTGGACTGATTCGCTACCCACATTCTTGCACTTAATGTGACCGGAGCCAATCTACATCTGTATCATTTTTACAGCACGCAAATGCATTATTTCGATTGCACTGTGCATCTTTGTTGTGGAGACTCGTGATGGTCGCTCTCCATTATCAGGATCTCTTACAACTTGATTTGTAGACTTTGACGCCGCCTACATGCATATTCAATCTTCAACGTCAACTATGCGGTCTTGGCTAATCAGACGACCTTTGACTGTTCTAACAGGGAAGCTCTGAAGCCGCAAGTATGTGCGTGTGTTGTCTCAGACTCGAACTTCATTTTTACCACAGGGTTGCTGTCTCAACCACAAACTTTGCAATCTCAAAGTGCAGCCTACGCTGTCCGATTACTGAAACTCTACATTGCGTGGATGGTCGACCGGTCAATGGGCTGAATTATTCCTTATGTCTTGAACATGACGGACCCCGTATCTACTGCATAAGAATGACACTCCGTACTAATTAGAAACAACCTTCCCGTCTCTGTTTTTGCTTTTGGAATAATATTTACTTCAATGACGCTGTGAAAGAACGTGATCAAGCACCTCCCGATGTTCCCAAGTACCTCGTAATGCGATTTCAAGAACTTATCCGAAGATCATTTAAACCTGAAAGGGAATACCATTTGCGCGGTACAATGGAGCACATCAGTCGACAATGGTTCAATGTGCGGGTATCTATTATAAAAAACATCGTTGTATGAACGAGACGAATGTTATAGCGTGTCAAAGGACAAAGGTGATCTTTTAAAAGACAGGGAAATCATTAATGATGACCGTCGTCATACTCAGAGGAGGCACAACACATGGAGACCCAAAAACGAGTCCAGCGCCCAGCGTGTTTGATTATAATATGAGGATTGGTGCTTGATCCGTTAGTAACAGCGGGATCCGGAGATGTGGTGGATGATGTCGAGACGGCAGCCTGTGTTTGCAAAGATGTTTTGGCTTGAGCAGCACCACTGGGTTGTGGTGTGGCGTCGCTATTTGGAGGGCGTGAGGTGCATGCAGCAGGGTTCTTGGGTTTCAATGGAATTATTACCATCCGTTTTTCTCGTGCTGACGCGTTCCTCTGTGTGGTGTATGATGAGGTTTGAACATCGGAAAAAGAGAAGATCACATACGCGCTTGCCCTTGGCATACGGAACATCGACGATTGCTGAGGGGCGCTCGTGCAGCTCGATCTCCGCACGACTGGGTCGGGCAGAGAAAAGGTTTCGAACCCAGTGAAATATGTGGGGTCGTGGTGGCGTATCGCGGGAGTTGAGTCGCGCAGAAGACTAAGAACATAGAGGTCAGGAAAAACAGTACAATGTAGATGAGAGATGAGCGACGTACGTGAGCACTATGTGGTGTGCCATCGAAGAACCCTTGGGGAACCCGATTGGAGACCTTGATTGGCTGACGGACTGGACGTCGTGTAGCATCAGCCTAGAAAATGTTTGAATGCAATGAGATCTGTGATAAAAGTGTCACGCACAGCGAGTAGAGACTTGTCATGCTGGTCCAACAGAAGTTCGTCGAGGCCAGCCTCTTTTACGATTGCAGAAACATCCCACGTGTATGCATTGTTGTCACCACAGCCAGTGGCTAGTAGCTTTCCATCTGCCGAAAACGACACAGAATGCACAGTACTTGCATGTTGGAGGGGCGAACTGATGGACTGGTTGTTGTCGAGGTTCCATAATCGTGCTGTTGTGTCCGCTGATGCGCTTGCGAGGATGCAGCCATTCGGAGATATTGCAACGCCATAGACTTCAAATTGTGCCCTTCCAGCACCGCGATTTGTTTCCAAGTTGTTGTACTCCATTTTCTAACCGAGTGATCGTTTGATCCGGAGATAAGTGTTTTTCCATCTGGCGTCCAAGCCAGGCACCACACCCAACCTTTATGTCCTTCAAGGGTAGCGACAAGCTCGCCGGTCTTCGCATTCCAGATTTTGATTGGGCACTTGTCATTTCTGCTATTCCAAGGCTGTTTGCCTCCGCCAGTCGCAAACATGGTCGTGTCTGGCGAGTAGACGGCTGCCTTCACACTTTCATCCCCAGTCTCGATTGGACCAAGGATGGTCTTTCCGCTCTCCACATCCCACTCCCTTGCAGTCCCATCGTCAGATCCGCTCAAGACTCGCTGACCATCTCGACTCCAGCAGACAGACATTACTCCCTTTGTATGCCCCACCCATTTCGCGATGACTTTGCCTGTGTCGATGTCCCACAACCTCACTCCACCATCTTCACCCCCGCTAACCACTTTCCTCCCATCCAGAGACAACGCTATGGTCCACACTGAATTGTCTCCGTCCCGCCACTCATCTCCTATCTGTTTGCCACTTTTCATGTTCCATACCCGCAGCGAGCCGTCATTTGAACAAGTCATTATCCGTTGTCCACCTGGCAGATGTATGGCACTGTAGACCGAATTAGTGTGTCCCTCCAATTTCTGGCGGGGTGTGATCACTGATGCCTCCTGCGCTAGTGAAGACATAATCAACTATTGGGCACAGCTCGGTCTCAGCTTTCATACAACAAGGTTCAAAATCATCACTTACAACAATATGGTCCTCAGCTGCTCCCGATGAATCGAGGCAAGACACAAAAGGTGTTTAGGTCAAAAGAGCACTGGAAGGTTGAGCTGGTGCGTTTTACATGTGTTGTCCTCGTGTTCACTTCACAGCTTACAGTATATCCTGTGCAGCTGAAGCGCCCAAGCCTCATTTCTGATCACGAGTCGCATTCCATTAGTCACAGTTCTGACTGAAAGCCCTCTATGTTTCCCGCTATGACCTTGCTCAATACAACTTCACTCGGCCATACTCGTTAACACCGTCTGAAACTGCTTCACCCTCCCAACTGCCACCCGAAGATGCCGTCGTCTCATTGATGCTTGCATACAGTGCATAAGACACGTATTTCTGTATATCGGTACACGGGGAATCACCAGAACTTTCCCAAATTTAACTGATACAACCCGCCGATTCGTCTTTGTTCAGAAGCCTCGGCACAAAGTCACCACGCGCGAATCTGGCGTTATAGTTTTGTCACCGGACTACAATCGCCCCTCCAGAGCAGCAAGACAGCTAAGGAGATGACCGCCCCCAGAAGGCGTCGTAGCTTCTAAACAGTCCACTTGGCTGAAGGTTAATGTCTGCTCAGTGGGAGGATGCGATACCTGGGAGCTGCCGAAGTTGGATTACAATAAGGGTGAGGAACGTCCAATGTTTTACTCATCATCATTAACAGGCATTCGTCACCCAGCCTTTCGATTTCTACGTATCTGAAATATAACATCGATGCCGTCAAGGAATATGTTGTAATCACTCCAGATCCTCGTCTTATCGTCGTCCGTTTCAGACCTGGTGTTGAGGTCGCAGGTGGTCTATGCTCACTGACGCCCTACAGCTAGGACAGGAAGTTGAGATCCGTCTGCGAATTGTGGACACTCAAGGCTGGGACAGTTTCAAGCCCATTTTCAGCAAGGTCGTCTCTCTGCATACCGAGAGTAATCACTAGCAGTTTTCTGTTCTGGGAGGTCTAATCGATGTTGGGACCAAGATTAATCGCTGTGCTGAGCGGATCGTCTTTTTGGTCAAGTGCTGGATGCGGTCGGGAAGCTCCCGAAGGTCTACACCGGTAAGCATCATCGTTGTCTTCATGCTAGTGCGTTCTAAAGAGATTCTAGAACTTGAAATCAGTTTGCTCTTCCTGCGCCGTTTGCCGGGTGTTCGCACAAAGGACAAAAAACAAACACAAGTTTCGAAACTCGCCAAGAACGAACTCCTGCTTATCAACATTGGTGAGCATGAAAGGGAATCTCGCGAAGATTCAGTTGACTTCACCTGCATGTACTGAGGTTGGAGAGAAGGTCGCGCTTTTGAGACGTATCGAGAAGCATTGGCGGCTTGTAGGCAAGTGTCAGACCGTATCGGTATGTCCTTCATATTTCTGTTGGGGAATTATCGTCGATGAACCCTGCGCTGGTGAAGACATAATTAACTACTGGGTGCAGCTTTGTTTCAGCTTTCATGCACAAATTCTGCAATGATCACTTACGACTGTTGGCAGGTCTTGACACCAGGACACAATGAGCGTTGAGGTTGGTGCACCGGAAGTTTGAGCTGGTATGTGTTACATGTGCTATTCTCATGTTCACTTCGTAGCTTCTAAGCATAGGCTGTCCAGCTGAAGCACTCAAGCTTCGTTTTTGATCACGAGTCGCACTCAACAGCCCCAATATTCATTCCACAACGGATGCTTGATCCTCGTTCGGCGCGTAACATGTATCATTCTGGGTCTCAGTACATAGAAAACAACTATAAATTTGTCAATCGCTGGTATGTCTTCAGAAACCGAAAGCTTGGCGCAACATCGCTGCGTGCGAATCTGGCGGTATAGCTTTGGTGCGATGGATTGCAATATTGCTTCCAGAGTAGTAAATGAAAGTGTCGTAGCTTCCGCAGTCCGGATGACTGAGAGCACAGATGTCCAGTGGCCTGGAGACAACGATGCCTTCGGTCGGAGGATGCGATACCCGGGACCTGCTGAAGTTGGTCTTTTAGTTAGATCACAACAAGGGTGGTCCCCGGACCCCGATGGCTTGAAACAATATTTTTACTCATCCTCGTCCTAGGCACGGTAGCCCTGTCGTTACCCATCGTTCCGATATCTGCGCAGCTGAAATACAACACCCACCGTCAACGAATACATGTCAAATATATATCTATCTCAGTCCGTGACTTCACTTCCAATCCCCGTCTCATTTGATGCTAACAAGCCTAGTGCCAAGGGTGGGCGTGTCGAGGTTGCTGATTATAGACTGTGCGAAGAGGATCTGGTAAACTTTAACTACTAGCACATTCTCTGGAACGATTTTATGGCTCCTGAGGTATCGACTGCATCACCCTCCTGTGAGACCGGACTGACGTCGATGCAGATTCTACTCGCAACGGCGCGGTCGCGCCGTGAATTGGTGGGCTTTTGGTGTCTTGCTTGGACAATCGCCTTGCCATGACGACAATGAAGAAAAAAAATTGATGCGATCTTGGAGTATGTGCCTCTACATCCATCACCATGGATGCCGAGAGATGCTCTTTGCATCTTACAAAAGGTCAAATGTCCACTGCTTTGCTTTCTGTGCCTGCAGGTGGCAGCTTTGACATGGGATATCATTTGGAATCCGAGAAGGCCAATACCGGGGAGAGTAAAAGACATCCATTTTTCAAGGTTGTGTATCGAGCTTTGGCAATGTCTTGAATACACGCATCCCGCTGCTGTACTCTTTTCCCCAATATGTGTCCAAATCTTTGGAACCAACCCTGCTGTGACTTAAAAACAAGGCTGCGCAAAACACTTTGGTATCAGTGTTTTCCTTGCCATGCCCGAATGTCAAGATCACCTACTGAATTTCCCAACCTACATAGCACACGAGCTCGAGACTCGAGACTATCACAATATATAACACTCGGTACACATACACTGCCACTCGTCGGATCCGTTGGATGAAGATTCTCGTATCTGTCCTTTGTCAGTGAAAATTTTGTCTTCGGACTGCGCGGTTCTAACTCGTGATCCATTTCCATACCTTTCCACGAGAGGCTTCAGATGGAGACAGTCGGCGACGCAATGCTGTTCGAGCGTCATGCTTGTCTTTCTGCTCTGTTGCACTGAACGATTCTCGCAGTTACTCCCGCCGATCACTTTCTGGCCATCCGGAGACAACGCTATGGTCCACACTTGACTTTCTCCATCCCTCCACTCGTCTCCTATCTGTTTGCCGGTCTTCAAGTTCCATACCCGCAGCGAGCCGTCCTCTGAACACGTCATTATCCGCTGTCTGCCTGGCAAATGTATGACATCGCAGACAACATCGGTGTGTCCTTCAAATTTTTGGTGGGGCGTTATTATCGATATCTCCTGCGCCGGTGAAGACATAATCAACTACTAAACGCAGCTCCGTTTCAGTTTTCATCCAACAAAGTCCCAAATCATCACTTACATTGATATGTTCCTCAGCTGCTTTGTCGTATTGGCACCAAGACATAAAAGATGTTTAGGTTGAAATTTGTCGTGATACGTTTACATGTGACTAACTATCCTAGTGTATCTACTAGTTCATTCTGGCTTACAGCATACACGCTGAAGCGCCCAAACCGTATTCTATCAGTTCCAATCACACGACAATTACCTTTCTTCAACCTCACCGCACAGTCATGCTACCACCTTGTCCGGTACAGCTTCACTTTGCTATCCTTGTTCATATTTCAACGAAACTACCCAACCACCCCAATATCCGTGATCTCACCGATGGCTCGATACCCATTTGACATGTAAGATATATTCTGTGTCTCGGTACACGGAAATCCCAATCACTGATAGTTCCACCTTTCTCCATAAACCTCGGTATTTTGATTCCATGATTCAGATTTGGGAGTCACAGCTGAAAGCACCGACCTCCTGCCTTGATATCAGATGAGGAGACTCTGAACAAGCACCACGAAGAACCAGACTGTCAAGAAGAGGATAAGCAGATGGAGGATAAGAAATCGAGATTCGTCCGGGAATATGTGACGAAAGACACTCAAGGCCGAAACCGCTCCAAGCCGATTTTCAGCAAGATCGCATCTCTGCAGCCATCACTTGTAGTTTGCAGTTCCGGTTTGTACCAAGATTGATCCTACGCTATGCAGAGCGGATCATCTTGTTGGTCAAGTGTTGGGTGCGGTCGGAAAGCTCTCGAAGCTCCATACCGATAACCATCATCGGTTTCGTCATGCTAGCGTGCTGTAAAGGGAATATAGAACTTGAAACCATTGCGTTCCTTCTTCATCATTTGTTGGGGTTTCGCACAGAGGACAAGAAGCAAACAAAGATCCCGAAATTCGCCAAGAACAAGCTCCTACTCAATTGTCTATGCGTTTCGAGACTTTGTGTCTGACTTTGAGAAAAAGATGTTCAGGTACGGCTGATTTTCAATGACCAAAGAACGGTGTTAGGCTATATTCTGTGTTAGCCTCGTACCAGATGCCTTGGCTTGCTCAAAATCACAACTTTGCCCGCATGTACTAGTAAGGTTGGAGTGAAGGTCGCACTTTCGAGACATATCGAGAAGTATTGGCGCCTTGTAGGCAAGTATTTCTGCCAACTCAGTAGACTCATTCGCTGACCTGGGTCCCATCAGGCTTGGTAAGTGTACAGCGTGGAACGATGTTGGAGTTGGACTGATTCAGTACCACATTCTTGCACTTGATTGTGACCGGAGCCAATCTACATCTCAAGAAACCAGGCGCGATATATTAATGGTGATCATGAGTATACTCGGGAGAGGTGCAACAAAAAAACAGCCAGAATCGAGTCCAGCATCCAGCGTTTTCTATCGTTGCACGAGGATTGGTTTGCGAAGTTGTGGTAGCGACGGGAAGTGCGGCAGAAGGTGTGAATACAGTGGCCTGCGCTTGCGAGGATGTTTGGGCCTGAGCCGCACCACTGAATTGTTGTGTGGCATTGCTATTGGGAGGTGAGGTGCTTGCAGCAGGTTTCTTGGGTTTCGATGGAATTGACCTCCGTTTTTCTCTTGCTGACGCGTTCCTCTACGTAATATGAGATGGGGTTTTGAACATTTGAGAAGGAGACATACACGCTTGCCCTTGGCATACGGAACATCGACAACCGCTGAGGGACGCTCGTGCAGCTCGATCTCCACACTACTAGGTCGGGAAGAGAAAAGGTTTCGAATCCAGTGAAAAATACGGGGTCGTGATAGCGTATCGCTGGGATCGAGTCGCGCAGAAGACTGAGAATATGGAGGTCAGGAAAAACAGTACAATGTAGATGAGAGATGAGCGACGTACGTGAGCACGATGTGATGTGCCGTCAAAAAATCCTTGGGGTACCCGATTGTAGACCTTGATTGGCTGACGGACTGGACGTCGTGTAGCACCAGCCTAGAAACTGCTTGAATGCAATGAGATCTGTGATGAAAGTGTCGCGTACAGCAAGTACCGACTTGTCGCGCTGGTCCAAGAGAAGTTCGTCGAGGCCAGCTTCTGTTACTATCGTAGAAACATCCCACGTGAATGCATTGTTGTCACAGCAGCCAGTGGCTAGTAGCTTTCCATCTGCCGAAAACGACACAGAAAACACATTGCTTGCATGGTGAAGGGGCGAACTGATGGGCTGGTTGTTGTCGAGGTTCCATAATCGCGCTGTCTTGTCCCAGGACGCGCTTGCGAGGATGCGGCCATTTGGAGATATTGCAATGCCATGGACAAAGCGGGTGTGTCCTTCCAGCACTGCGATTTGTTTCCAAGTTGTTGTATCCCATGTCCTAATCGAGTAATCGTAGGACCCGGAGACAAGCCTTTCTCCATCTGGGGTCCAGGCCAGGCACACCACCCCATTTGTGTGTCCTTTGAGAGCAGCGACAAGCTCGCCAGTCTTGGTGTCCCAGATTTTGATTGGGGACTTATCATACTGAGTTTCGTGTGCGAGCTCTCCGCGATCGACTGCACCGGTTGCGAACATGGTCATGTCTGGCGAGTAGATGACTGCCTGCACAAGTTCGTCTCCTGTCTTGATTGGTGCAAGGATCGTCTTTCCGCTCTCTATGTCCCATTGTTTTGCAGTCCCATCGTTAGATCCGCTCAAGACTCGTTGACCATCTCGACTCCAGCAGACAGACCACACTCCCTCTGTATGCCCCGTCCATTTCGGGATAACTTTACCTGTGTCGATATCCCACAGCCTCATTCTGCCGTCCTCACTCCCGCTAGCCACTTTCGTCCCGTCTGGAGACAACGCTATGGTATACACTTCCCTTTCTCCGTCCCGCCAGTCATCTCCTATCTGTTTCCCGCTTTTCAAGTTCCAAACACGCAGCGAGCTGTCCCTTGAACAAGTCATCATCCGTTGTCCGCCTGGCAGATGTATGGCACCAAGGACTTCATCGGTGTGTCCCTCAAATTTCTGGCTGGGTGTTATCTCTGATGTTTTCTCCCTTCCAACGGTAGTGGGTGAAGACATGATCAACTACTAGGCGCAACTCCATCTCAGCTTTCATCCAACAAAGTCCAAAATCATCACTTACAATATTATATTCCTCGGCAGGTCTCGACGTGTTGATACAAGTGACAATGAGCGCTAAGTCAAAAGTACACTGGAAGTTTGACATATTACGTTTTACACGTGTTATCCTCGTGTTCACTTACACCATATATGCTGTGCAGCTGAAGCGCCCAAGCCTTGGAATCGCACTCTGTCAGTTCCAACAACCTTACTGTACACCATCCATATGTCACGCTACAACCTTGTCTGACACAGCTTCACTCCGCTATTCTTGTCAACATGTCAACAAAACTCCCTGTCCCTACCCAACTACTCCTCGGCTCGTCATCTCACCGATGTTCGATACCCATTTGGCGCGCAAGATATATATCTGTGCCTCGGTACATGGAAGTCCCGATCACTGATCATTCTATCTTTCTCTAGAAATCTCGACATTTTCAGTACATGATTCAGATCCGGGACGGTGCCGACTTCCTGCCTTGATCACACAAAATGCCAGGAAGAATCAGATTCTGAAGAAGAGGACGAGCAGCTGGAGGATGTCCCAAATATTGACATAGATATTTCGAAGCTGGCGCCACTGCCGCCTGAAGTAATATCAAAACAGTGCGCGTGCAGCTTTCCTTTATCTGAAGCAACTTATCGACTGCGATCACAATCAACTTGGATATGCAGAGTTCTGCGAGTGCATATCAGTTAGCTGTTGATTTGTCTCTGCGGGAACGATTGATCATGTCGCACATGGAAAATCAACAGTTGTGAAGGCCATATCAGGCGTCATGTACAATTCAAAAGTGAGCTTGTTCGTGACATCACGATCCAGCGGGGTTATGCAAATGCAAAAGTATGTTCCTTCTGATCCGCATCTGATACATTGTTAATCTCGAGACCCACCATCATAGATCTACAAATGCGAGAGCGAGGCATGCCCTCACTCTGGTTGCTATCGATCGTACCGCTCGAACAAAGAAGATCATACTCACTGCCAACGGCCAGGATGTGGTCACCGGATGAAACTCATTCGCCATGTTTCCTTCGTGGACTGTCCCGGTCACGACATCCTGATGGCTACCATGCTTAACGGTGCTGCAGTCATGGATGCTGCTCTTCTTCTAATCGCAGGAAATGAAACATGCCCTCAGCTGCAGACATTAGAGCACCTAGCCGCGGTTGAAATCATGAAGCTGGAAAACATCATTATTTTACAGAACAAGGTCGACTTGATCAAGGAAGCCCAGGCTCTTGAGCACCAAAAATCAATCGCTGCATTCGTAAAGGGTGGGTACTCGGTGGCACGGACTATTCAATGATGTACTAATTCTCACAACAGGCACAGTAGCCGAGTCGTCTCCCATAGTTCCGATATCTGCGCAGCTCAAGTATAACATCGACGCTGTCAACGAATACATTGTAAAGCGTATACCTATCCCAGTCCGCGACTTTACTTCCGATCTCCGTCTCATCGTTATTTGTTCATTCGATGTCAACAAACCTGGTGCCGAGGTCGATGAGCTCAAAGGGGGTGTTGCCGGTGGTTCTATCCTCACAGAAGTTCTAAGGCTAGGGCAAGAAGTCGAGATTCGTCCGGGAACTGTGACGAAAGACACTCAAGGCTGGAACCGCTGCGAACCGATTTTCAGCAAGATCGTGTTTCTGCAGGCGGGGAACAATCACTTGCAATTTGCAGTTCCGGGAGGGTTGATTGGTGTTGTGATTAAGATCGATCCTACGCTATACAGAGCGGATCGTCTTGTTGGTCAAGTGTTGGGTGCGGTCGGGAAGCTGCCGAAGGTCTACACCTGTAAGCATACTCGCTTCCGCCATGCTAGCGGGACCTAACGAGAATTCAGAGCTTGAAATCAGTCTATTCCTCTTGCGCCGTTTGCTGGGTGTTCGGACAGAGGACAAGAAACAAACCAAAGTCTCGAAACTCGCTAAGAACGAGCTCCTCCTTATTAACATTGGTTCAACATCGACTGGTAGACGGGTATTGAGCGTGAAAGGGGATCTCGCGAAAATTCAGTTGACTTCACCGGCATGCACCGAGGTTGGAGAGAAGGTCGTGCTTTCGAGACGTATCGAGAAGCATTGGCGACTTGCAGGCAAGTGTTTTCGTCGACTCAGTAGACTCATTTGCTGACTTGCCGTCAGGTTGGGGAAGTGTACAGCGCGGAACGGTGTTAGAGTTGGACTGATTCGCTACCCACATTCTTACACTTAATGTGACCGGAGCCAATCTACATCTGTATCATTTTTACAGCACGCAAATGCATTGTTTTGATTGCACTGTGCATCTTTATTGGGAAGACTCATGATGGTCACTCTCCCTTATGACTTAATTTGTAGACTTTGACGCCGGTTACATGCTGGTCAACCTTTGACTGTTCTGATATCGCAGCTTTTAAGCCGCAAGTATATGCTTGCGTTGTCCCGAGCTCCATTCATGCCCACGGGGCTGCCGTTTCTACCGCAAACTTTGCAGCCTCAAAGAACAGCTTATACTGTTCGATCACTGAAACTCTACAGTGCGCAAATGGTCGACTGGTCAGCAATGAGCATTCTCTAGATTGAATTATTTTCTGTCTTGAACATGACGGACCCCGTGTCTTCATTTCACTGCATAAGAATGACACTCCGTACTAATTAGAAACGACCTTCCCGTCTCTGTTTTTGCTTTTGGAATCGTATATACTTCAACGACGTTGTGAAAGAAGGTGATCAAGCACCTTGAAATCCGATTTCAAGGACTTATCTGAAGATCGTTTAAACCTGACAGGGAATGCCATTTACGCGGTACAATGGAGCACATCAGTCGACAATGGTTTAATGTGCGGGTATCTATTATAAGAAACAATGTTGTATAGATGAGATCAACGCCATAACATTTCAAAGGACGAAGCTGGAGATCTTTGTAAAAGACGAGAAAATGAATTATGTAGATTTATGGTGACCGTCGTTATACTCAGAGGAGGCACAGCATATAGAGACCCAAAAACGAGTCCAGCGCCCAGCGTGTTTGATGATGATATGAGGATTGGTGGTTGGAGTTGTGCTAGTGACAGCGGGATCCGGAGATGTGGCGGATGATGTCGAGACGACAGCCTGTGGTTGCAGAGATGACTGAGGCTGAGCTGCGCTGCTGGATTGTATGGTGTTGCTATTTGGAGGACGTGAGGTGCTTGCAGCAGGCTTCTTGGGTTTCAATGGAATTGGCCTTCGTGTTTCTCTTGCTGACGCGTTCCTCTATGTGACATGAGATGGGGTTTTGAACATTCGAGAAGGAGAAGATAACATACACGTTTGGCCTGGCAATGTGGAACGTCGACGACTGCTGAGGGAGGCTCATGCAGCTCGGTCTCTGCACTACTGGGTCGGGCAGAGAAAAGGTTTCGAACCCAGTGAAAAATGCGAGGTCGTGATGGCGTATCACGGGATCGAGTCGCGTAGAAGACTGAGAATATCGAGGTCAGGAAAAACAGTACAATGTAGATGAGCAACGTACGTGAGCACCATATGGTGTGCCATCGAAAAATCCTTGGGGTACCCGATTGGAGACCTTGATTGGCTGACGGACTGGACGTCGTGTAGCATCAGCCTAGAAATGTTTGAATGCAATGAGATCTGTGATAAAAGTGTCACATACAGCGAATAGAGACTTGTCATGCTGGTCCAACAGAAGTTCGTCGAGGTCAGCCTCTTTGACTATTGCAGAAACATCCCACGTGTATGCATTGTTGTCACAGCAGCCAGTGGCTAGTAGCATTCCGTCTGCGGAAAACGACACAGAAATCACAGTATTTGCATGCGGAGGGGCGAACTGATGGACTGGTTGTTGTCGAGGTTCCATAATCGCGCTGTGTCGTCCGCTGATGCGCTTGCGAGGATGCGGCCATTCGGAGATATTGCAACGCCATAGACTTCATTGGTGTGCCCTTCCAGCACTGCGATTTGTTTCCAAGTTGTTGCACTCCATTTTCTAACCAAGTGATCGGTTGACCCGGAGATGAGGGTTTTTCCATCTGGGGTCCAAGCCTAGGCACCACACCCAACCTTTATGTCCTTCAAGGGTAGCGACAAGCTCGCCGGTCTTCGCATTCCAGATTTTGACTGCCACTGGGTACTTGTCATCTCTGCCAGCCGATTCACCTCCGCCAGTTGCAAACATGGTCGTGTCTGGCGAGTAGACGGCTGCCTTCAGCAAGTCATCCCCTATCTCGATTGGACCAAGGATGGTCTTTCCGCTCTCTACATCCCACTCCCTTGCAGTCCCATCGTGAGATCCGCTCAAGACTCGCCGACCGTCTCGACTCCAGCAGACAGACCTACAGTCCTTTGTATGCCCCATCCATTTTGCGATGACTTTGCCTGTGTCGATGTCCCACAACCTCACTCCACCATCTTCACCCCCACTAACCACTTTCTTCCCATCCGGAGACAACGCTATGGTCCACACTTGACTTTCTCCGTCTCGCCAGTCATCTCCTATCTGTTTGCCACTTTTCATGTTCCATACCCGCAGCGAGCCGTCATCTGAACAAGTCATCATCCGTTTTCCGCCTGGCATGTGTATAGCACTGTAGACCGAATTAGTGTGTCCCTCCAATTTCTGGCGGGGTGTGATCACTGATGCCTTCTGCGCTAGTGAAGACATAATCAACTATTGGGCACAGCTCGGTCTCAGCTTTCATACAACAAGGTTCAAAATCATCACTTACAACAATATGATCCTCAGCTGCTCCCGATGAATTGAGGCAAGACACAAAAGGTATTTAGGTCAAAAGAGCACTGGAAGGTTGAGCTGGTACGTTTTACATGTGTTCGTGTTCACTTCACAGCTTACAGCATATCCTGTGCAGCTGAAGCGCCCAAGACTCATTTCTGATCACAAGTCGCATCCCATTAGTCACAGTTCTGACCGAAAGCCCTCTATATGTCCCGCTACAACCTTTCCCAATACATGTTCACTCCACTATCCTCGTTAACAACATCTTAAACTGCTTCACCCTACCCGTGACCCAACTACCACCCGAAGGTGTCACCATCTCATCAATGCTTGCATATGGTGCATAAAACACGTATTTCTGTATACAAGTACTCGGGAAACCACTGGAACGTTCCCAAATCTCACTGATGCCAACTCACGTTTTGTCTTTGTTCAGAAGCCTCGGCACAAAGTCACCACGCGCGAATCTGGCGTTATAGTTTAAGACTCGTGATCGCCAGTCAGACAACCTTTGACTGCTCTAACAGCGAAGGTTCAAAACCGCAAGTATATGTGGACGTTGTCTCGAACTTAATTTATGTCCACAGGGCTTCTGTCTCCACCGCAAACTTTGCAGCCTCAAAAACAACTTTACACTGTTCGATTACCGAATCTCTACAGTGTGTGGGTGGTCGGCAGATCAGCAATATTATTAATGAGCATTCTCTAGGCTGAATTATTTCTTTCCGTCTTGAACATGGTGGACCTTGCGTCTTCATTTAACTACATTGTCGATATTAAGAATGACACCGTACTGATTAGAAATCACCTTCCCATCTCTGTTTTTGCTTTTGGATCGTGTATACTTCAATAACGTCGTGAAAGGTGATCAAGCACCTCCCAATGCTTCCAAGTATCTCGCAATGTGATTCAAAGGCGAAGGACTCATCTGGAAATCTAAAAGTGAATGCCATCTGCGCGGTACAACGGAGCATGTCAGTTGACAACGAGTCGATGTGCAGGTATCTACTATAAGAAACAATGTTGTGTGGATGAAATGAACGTCATAGCATTTCAAAGGGCAAAGGAGATCCTTGTAAAGGACGAGAAAACAAACCGGGTAGATTAATGATGACCGTCGGTATACTCAGAGGAGGTTTAACACATAGAGACCCAAAAACGAGTCCAGCGCCCAGCGTATTTGGCCATGACATGAGAACTGGTGTTCGGAGTTGTGTTAACGACAGCAGGAGGTCTGGCGGATGGCGTTGAGATGGCAGCCTGTGGTTGCGAAGATGACTGAAGATGACCCGTGCCACTGGATTGTGTGGCGTTGCTGTTGGGAGGGCGGGAGGTGCTTGCATCAGAGTTCTTGGGCTTTAATGGAATTTTTACCATCCGTTTTTCTCGTGCTGACGCGTTCCTCTAGGTGATATGAGTTAGTATTCAAGTATCTGAGAAGAACGAAATGACATACACGTTTGCCCTTAGCAGACGGAACATCGACGACTACTGAGCCACGTGCGTGTAGCTCGATCTCTGCATCACTCGGTCTGTCAGAGAAAAGGTTTCGAACCCAGTGAAAAATGCGGGATCGTGAGGGCGTATCGCGGGGGTCGAGTCGCGCAGAAGACTGAGAACATCGAGCTCAGGAAAAACAGCACTATGTAGATGGCAGATGAGCGACGCACGTGAGTATGATGTCGTGCGCCGCACTTCAGTCACCCCCAAAAGTATACCTATTAGGTTGATAGTCCTGTATACATGTATTAACTTAAGAGGTGTGATTCCTCTGGTTTTTCCCATTGTACTGTAGGTATGGGATAAGTCCTATGGGACAAAGCCAATGCTTTCCCAGCCCACCTGGGACATAATTTTGTGAACATTCCCATGGGCTTTCCCTGTAATGTGAGTGGTCTCAGGAGTCTTTTGGGCTGATTTTTTTACCATATTGGGGGGGTATAGCTGGGATCATTAGGGGGTATAGGGGTCATGAAGGTGTGGTATAGGGATCATAGGAGGGTGGTACAGGGACCATCAGAGGGTAGTATAGGGTGGTATGAGAACCATCTGAAGATGTTATTGGAGACCATCGGAGGGGAGTATAGGGATCATGATGGTCTGAATAGTGTGATCCCCAAGTGATGATTCTGTAGGTGTGGGCGAGTAGCTGAGACCAGGCATTGGTTGATCAATATTTGAACAGTGCAATCCCCAAGTGATGATTCTGTAGGCATGGGTGAGTAGCTGAGACCAGGCATTGGTTGATCAATATTTGAATGGTGTGATCCCCAAGTGATGATTCTGTAGGCATGGGTGAGTAGCTGAGACCAGGCATTGGTTGATCAATATCTGAATGGTGTGATCCCCAAGTGATGATTCTGTAGGTGTAGCAATTGGAGGGTACCATAGGGTGGTATGAGAACCATCAGAGGGTAGTATAGGGATCATGATGGCTCGGTATGAGAACCATCTGAAGGTGTTATTGGGATCATGGTAGGGTGGTATGAGGATCATGAGTATATCTGCTCAAGTGATGATATGTCATGATGGGATTTCCCCAGCCACATATACTCATGTTTGGAATTTCCTGGCCATATATACAGTGGCTCAAAAAACTGATCACATTCCCTGTCTCTTCACACACTGTGAGAAACATTCTCAAGACAGCTCATCTCAGGTCAGTAACAAGGAAGAAAAGGCTTTCCTCTCTATCACACATATGCAGAGAGGACTAGCACCCTTCTTTTTTCACATATATACCTTGCCATCTGACCCAATCCTATTTATTGTGGTCTTATATGATCATATAACATGCTTCCAGTCCATGTAATCCAATTCTGATGGGCTAAGGCAAAGGTTAGTCATCTCTGTTTACGTGTGATAGAGAGGAAAGCCTTTTCTTCCTTGTTACTGACCTAAGATGAGCTGTCTTGAGAATGTTTCTCACAGTGTGTGAAGAGACAGGGAATGTGATGGTGGAATTGATGTAATAGGTGACCTGGACAGCATTATCAGCCTTTCCTGTAGTGATATGTTGAATAATAGCCCTCCTATCAGTAGAGGTGAGCTTGGATGGACACCCTTCACAGAAGTTTTCCTTGTCTGTGTGACTTTCTTTGATGAACTTGGCCACAGTGGACTTGCATACTCCAGTTCTAGAGGAAATTTGACAAGCAGAGAGGCCAGAATAGGAAAGAGAGAGGATATTATCCCTTTGAGCAGGGGGGGTGGCTTTCATGGTGAATATAACCATGACATATGGAAATTTTTGGTTTGTATAGTTAGATATGGTTTTAAAATGACACAATGACACCACTTTATAATTTATTTAATGGTGGCATGATTGTTATGGTGTCATAAATGATGATTTATATAGTTTTAATATGTGCTCAAAAAACTGTCCGCATGAGTCATGATTTTGTGAGCCTTGTATCTCCACCATATCTCCACCGATTCCCACGGTGTAGGGCTCAAATGAAAGCCCTGAAGCCATACTACAATGTGCTATAAGCATGTCTTTGAGCCATTTGTTCCTTCTCACACAATATCATAGATAGTGAAAAATGTCAAAACATGCGGACAGTTTTTTGAGCCACTGTATAACCTCAAACACCACAAAAATATTTCACCATATGTACAAACTCTCTATTTTTACCCTGGGTTTCATCTGGCAACCTCTATTTCCCTTACTCACTGTCTCATATAAACATGCATTGCTTTCACATACTCAAACAGACTCTCGAAAATACCCCCGTGTACCAACATGCCTAGATGTATCGCATATACATTGAATAAGTTCCTATTTTTTCTCTCATGCGCACATAATCAAGCCCATAGACATCTACTTCGAACACGTGTAGCCGCACCGCACCCATTTGTTCCTGAAATATAGACTTATGCATTCACACTAATCAGGCGACAAGACAGCAGGAATAGACGATGATAGATGCACGAAGAAGATAAGATGAGTGCACACCTCGCACGACTGACCGACTGTACAGCATCTATCATGTTATAACCCTCTTATGTACTTGCGCTTACTATAATTATCTTTTTCTACCAGGCACAGTGGACCAAGCGACTTAGGACATGGATTGGACTGGACCAGGACTTGGAATGCAACGTGACATCAAACACATTATTTATACAGTGCACATTGGCACGCAGATATATCTATGGTACATGAGGGGTGCCCGGCACCAGCAATCCAAGAAAGGTACAATTACATAACACGCGCTACTCTACTGTTCCCTGAGGATGTCCCCCATCTCCCTCTCCATGATGCTCCAGTCATCTGACATCGTGTAGAGCTTGTTGGACATGAGGAGCAACTCCGCCTCCTGGCCATGTGAGTGCTGCCTCATGTTCAGAATGAACTTACTATAGCATGCATTGCTTGCGCACAGCCCCTTGTTCTCCCATTCCAAATGCCTGCTCTCAGCATGCACACGCACAAGCTCTTCCTCTAACTCCCTTACTCACATATCTCCATTCCTGGCATGGGCAGGAAGGGGGCAGGAAGGATGGATGTCCTTCTTTTGAGGATGTTACAATCATGTCTGCCCCTATCTCTTTTCTTTACTTCACCTGTGTATTATGTCATGACCGCGCCTTGTTGCGCTATCACTAGGATGAACCTTTTACCATATCTGTATTACATCACGATCGCCGCAGCCATCGCTAGATGACTCACTCTTCCCATGATGTATGACTTATCTCTGACTCACTCTTCCATGATGTATGTCTTATCTCTGACTCGTCTTGATGACGAACATGTACCGGCCCTAAAGCTATGATTACCTATAAAAGCTCGGTCATGTACTTAGCAGATCTTTACTTTAATCTACTAGGTTTTACCTGAAACATCCTTCGCTTAGGACCCCCAATCCTAAGTGTCTGATATCAATATTCAAGTTGGAGACACTCTCTCTAACTTGTCTTAAGACGCCTTGCATTTGCGAGGTCTTGATCTGACCCCAGACATTACTCTTATCGAGTATCTGTCGTCACACCCATCCTAGTTCGCTGTAACAGAGGAGGCAGGACCTCCTGGATCTTGACCTCCGACTTGCCAGATGTGTCTGCATCATCAGCAGTGGTAACAGTAGGCGCAGGCACAGTGGCCTCACCAGAACACACAACCTTGTGTGAACAAGGTGCACCAGGAACGGCCTTGCGCTTGGCTAAAAAGGCATTATCAGTAAAAACGCGACCCATACTAAAAACAACTTACCAAACAAGCAAGCCTGGTGCAGATGCATGCAGGATGGGCAGCACGTACCCAGTGTGCCGTTGCACATGATGCCGCGCACAGTGCAGCAATTGCACTTAGGAGTAGACATGCAACCCCCAGGACACTAGAAGAACGCATCATTAACAGCCAGGAAAAGGAAGGTGCAATCACTTACCAGAACCCCCATATCGCAATCCTCTGCAGCTGTAACTGCGGGAGCCTTGCCAGTGCGTGCGTCAGTGGCAGCAGCCATCAGCTCTTCAGCATGCTTCTTCCAATCGCTGACAGTCTTCTGGGCCACGCCTGCCCACTTAGTCGTTTCGGTGAGGAGTTTCACCTCGCCCTCGTCCAAGTTGAGTGCAATGCCCGCAGCGCGTGCCTTGTCACTAGACGCAGCCATGGCTGTCTGGAAGACAGGTAAAACACATTAGAAGGGCAGAAACCAAATACTAAAGCAACAACTCACCGAGATGCGGTTCCACTCTTGCAACCAATCCTCTATCTCTTCCAGGAGCTCTTGCTTTAGCCCTGGATGTGTCTCCATGCATGTGACAAAAGTCACAACAACCATGCTCCAAGTGCGAAGGACGAGTGTCATTGGCATTTCCTGGGGTGGTTCCTCACTGCGCTCTTCTAGCCCAGGGGATGGAGGGGGGAACTGTAAGAGTCTAGCATGGAGAGGGTGAAAGGAGGCATCACTGATGTCAAAAGATTATCATGGTATAGCAATAAGAGGAAGAAGAGGAAGCACAACACATGCCTGGTTTTTTATCCAACATGGCCATATTAGGTCAGCACAGGTCAATGAGCCTCGCGGCCACAGCATCCACACTGCGGTGCCCAGCTATTGAATCCTTACCAGAGCGAATGCCCATGGTCACATGACTCCGCTCATTGAATTTTTGCTAAGTCCATTCACACTACAGAGACTGACTGAGGACAGTCAGTATTCAAGTCCCCCGCGGATGTAGAGACTTGCTCCTCTATATTGCCACTATAGGACAATATACCACCCCTTCCCACTGATACTTGGTTCTGATCCTCTGGATAAGTCACTTGCACTATTGCAAACTGATGCATGATCGCCACACGCATGCGAACGCACTTGCATGTCCTGCGCACCCACTCTAGGTCCTCCACTACAGTCTGTCCACCTGTCCATGTCCTCACTAAAGTCCACTGGTGTGTTTTTATTATACTCTTATCACTCTGACATACCTTCTGGGCTGATTATAGCACTATAAATGCACAGGCACTGCATTTAAAACACTATTACATACAGATATCACTACCTACTTGCTTCACCTCCACGCTAAAAGTGTCGCCTAACACCCAATATAGGGAAGGGAGGGGGAGTTTTTTAGGGTACCTTATCCTAGCACCTCCCACCTCTGTGTAGTAGCAGTAGTTTGTGCATTTGAGCTAGTTTGAAAGCACTAAAGAATTGGAACTCGTGCGCTACCTTCATAGGCGCTGTTAAGAACCATGCTCAAAGGAGAGAGAGACTGACTCAGAGGGGCTTGGCCTCAGCTCGTACGCTGTGCCCCTTACCCAAGGATGTGCCCTTCATTTCAGAGGAAGTCTGATGATGGTCCGATGAAGTCTGGAGGACTTCTGAGGCTGGCTACTCTGGTGGAGAGTGCAGGAGGACTTCCAGAGGAGCACAGGAAACGTCCAGAGGAGCATGGGAGAGTTCTGGAGGAATGCAGGAAATGCTCAGGAGAGTTCCCACTGCAAGGTAATACTTCTACAGGAAAACAGGATGGAAGGATAGGAGGTCTGGAGGACAGGAGGGCAAGATGTCTGGAGGTCCAGAGTATGGAGGACAGGAGGTCTGAGTATGAGGGGAATCTGAGGTACGGAGGCGGAACATCCGAAGGACAGGATGCCCAGAGGTATGAGGGTCAGGACATCTGGAGGTACAGAAGACAGGAGGTCCAGAGGTCCGGAAGGAATAGGGGCTACATCGGACAAAGTCTGATGTAGAAGCAAACAGAGGTAGACTACCCTTAGGTAGAGTCGGAGAGACAGGAAGTGGACCTAAGTCCAGAAAGAGGGTAAGTGCCAGAAAGGCAAGACTCTAGCCTAGGGAAGCAATCCCTAGACTTGGGACAGAGACATAGGGGACAAATCCGAAGGTCCGGAATTCTGGCCTAGGGAATCCTTCCCTAGGCCTTATGGAAAAGGACGAGACTCAGACAGACTGAAGTCCAGAAGATGATTGGCAAGTAGAACAGGATCTAAGATAATATTCAGACTGAGGACTCTACTGTAGTTGTACAGGGGTTATATACTAGAGGCTATCTGAGAGGATCAGTAAGCAAAGGAGTAAGGCTATGTACAAGCATGCGGAAACACATTGGTAAGCAAGACAGAACATAAGTAAATGAACTCAGAGATGAAACTAGTACAAGGATCAATCAGCAAGATGGAAACAGAGATAACTGAGAACCAGAAAGGCAGAGATGCCTAAATGGGGATAGGCGCAGGATCTCGGATAGAGGGCAGGAATAGGTCCAGAGATAGTAACAGTTAATATCCGGAGGTCCAGAGATCTGGTGATCTGGAAGGCAGGGCGGAAACAGGACTGAGATATGTGAGGTGGTGGATGTAGTCCAGAATCTGAGAGGAGGTAAAGCCTGGATGTCTTGCTGGACGGAATGTGCATAGGGTGGACAGGATAGGGGATCCAGGAATGAGTCAGATATGGGGTCCGGAAATAGGTCCGGAAAGCGTGGGAATATGATTGGATCTATGTCTGGCATATGGGATATGACAGGCACGATCACCTCTAGTCAGCTCAATTCTCTCTCCACTGGATTTCATTTCCAGATAGCTCTAGCACCTACACTTTAGACCCCCATTGTGTGCACTCTCACTTTCTATCGCATCAGTGCACTTTCGTGCGCGTCTTCTTCATGCTTCTTCCAGTATTCGCGCTTTGTGCATCCTATAACGCTCATCTGGTTTTGAAGTCTCCCTCTGTCATTTCGAGGACCTTCTCTCAGTAGCTGTCCTTAGGGTCGAGTTCAGTCTTGCATCCAGGTCTTGCTTTAGTTCCCCCATAGTCCAAAGTCCTCACCTTCACTGACCCCCATATTCTTTGGTGGGGAATATCCAGACCCCCCATATTGTCACGTTGGGGATTCCCAGACCATATATATTCTGAAGTTGGGAAGTCCCAGGCCACCCAAATTATTTAGTTAGGAATATCCAGACCCCCCTTATTGTCAAGTCAGGAAGTCCCAGGCCACCCAAATTATGTAGTTGGGAATATCTAGACCCCCCTGATTGTCAAGTTGGGACATCCCAGTCCACATAAATTATTCAGTTGGGAATATCCAGAGCCCCATATTGTCCTGTTGGGATGTCCCAGACCATATATATTCTGATGTTGGGAAGTTCCAAGCCACCCAAATTATTAAGTCAGGAATATCCAGACCCCCCTTATTGTCAGGTCAGGACATCCCAGTCCACCTAAATTATTCACTCGGGAATATCCAGACTGCTCAAATTATTCAGTTGGGAATATCCAGACCCCTGTATTGTTATGTTGGGATGTCCCAGACCATATATATTCTGACATTGGGAAGTTCCAAGCCACCCAAATTATTCAGTCAGGAATATCCAGACCCCTCTTATTGTCAGGTTGGGACATCCCAGTCCACCTAAATTATTCAGTCGGGAATATCCAGACCCCCCTTATTGTCAAGTCAGGACTTCCAAGACCACCTACATTATTCAGTAGGGAATTCCCAGACCCCCCTTATTGTCAGGTCGGGAATATCCAGTATGCAATAGTAACCTGGCAAGTCAAGTCCACACTTGGAGTTTTCAATGTCTTATTTTGATAAGTCACACTGAATATTTGTTGCTGTCAGTGGTATCATAGTTATGTGTAATGATCAAGTGTCATATGCCATTCCAGGACTCTCAACTCTAAATCCGCTTCTCTGGATATCTGGATCCAAGATCTGGATCTTAAATGATCTGATCTATCTTTATCTCCCTTCTGGAATCCAAACCCTATATCAGCACCCAACTCCATTTAGACTGCCCCTGTCTCTGGACTCTGGTTAACCATGTTTCCCTTTTGATTATTGATCCATTACATACATTTCATTTCCGGTGTTCATTATTTGTGATCCTGTCCTACTTACTAATAGACTCTGCATATGCTTCGTACATAGCCTTTATGTTTGCTGACTGATTCCTATATGATACCTACAGTATATAAACCTCCTGTAACTCTTGGAAATACTCCAGTTCGAATATCATCTTAGTTCCTGCTCATTCCTGTGTCCTCTGGACTTGAGATAAGTCTCTTGTCATATTCCAAGTCTTAGGATTGTATCCTAGACTACATTTCCGACTCTACCTTAAGGGTAGTCCATCCTCTGTTAGTTTCTGGTCCAGACTTCATCTGGATTAGTCTTATCCGCTTGCCCAGGTAATATCCGGACGTCCATCGGGTTTATCTCACGTTTCAGATCCGGATGTCTGTTATCTGCCCCAGTCAAAACCCAGAAACTCCGGACGACTGTTCTAGCCCCCGGAAATTAAGGGCACATACTCAGGAAAGGGGCACAGCGTACAAGCTGAGGCCAAGCCCTTGTGATCCAACCCCCTTGAGCACGCGACCTTAACATCAAGACATTAATTCAAACTGCATTTGGAGACAAACAGATATAAGGTTCATGAAGACGGCACAGGGAGATTGACAGGATGACAGAATAGGTAATGAAGTTCATTCATAATCTTCGAAGTAATCATGATCATAGCCACCATCCTCTACCTCCACCTCTTCTTCATCTTCCATTGGAGACACCCAAGCCTTAGTAGCACGCCTCGATGGACCAGCAACAGGGGCAGATTCTTGGGTATATGCATACTGGTGTCGGACTGGAGATCTGGAGTGAGCATAGCCATGATGATGAGAATGGCGAATAGGTGGTGATGGGCTACAATGACAAGGTTGTTGAGTGGGATGGTGCTGCAAGTGATGCTGCTGCTGATGGCCATGGGAATAATGGCTAGTCATGATAATCAGTAGTGGATTTGTGTGACAAGCAGAAGACATACTGTGTAGCACTGCTCATCATCCATCTGCCAACCTTGTGATCCTCACCATCACTCTCATCTCGTTGGCACTTCTGAACAAGTGGTACTTCTGCAACCTTGTGAGATTTCACAGGTGTGCCAGGTGCAGGGTGAGTTATTCGAGACATAAGTTGAGGGTTCAAAGTATGCATGACAACACCTTTCTGCAATGAAGGTTGATGAGGAGGGACTTTGGTAGGGATGGGACAGGGAAGTGGCATGACCTTGTGGTGATCCCTACATGGTGGAGAAGGGGACCAGACAAGTGGTGAGGAGGGCTGAGGAGTTGGAGAATTGCGAGGGGGGGAAACCAGCAGAGTCTGGAACCTCAATACTAGGCAGCAGATTCTTCATAAACAGAACACAGTCCATGAGAGTACACTGGACTTTACCATCTGTGTCAGTGATGAGAGGGATGTTCAACATGGTGGAATCTTCATTGCTCATTAAGTCTTTAGACTCTGTCAGAATTTAAGTGAGTCGTGCCATAATACAAGTAAGTTCAATCTTACCATCCAACCAAGGTATGAACATCAACTCTGTCTCAGGAACCTTCACCCCACTTAACTTATCTTTCCTTTTCTTCTTCAGCTCTGGGTGTTCGACACGAGCAAGCTCCACATTGTAGTCAGAGCCCATGCAGCGCTTTAAGTAGGGACCAACCAGTGCCTTGAGCTCGTCTGTCTTCAAGTCCTTGAATACAAAATCGGAGCCAACAGGAGGGACACCTGCAGGCCAGTCAATGACCTGTGCTTGGTGAAGGTATAATGAATTGAGCATAGTTTTCCAGGGAATATTTTTCGCCTCATGTGGGATGCCAGCACCTTCTATAGCTAGAATGAATGCAATGATAGATATGATTACAAAAGAACTTACCAAACTTTTTGAGCATCATAATGGGAGCTACACAGTGATTGCAGTCATGAGTTCCCTCCCCTTTCTCGCATGCAAGCTCAGGATTGAATTTCGGAGCTGTAAAATGAGTAAAGGACAGCAAGGAAGCTGTATCGTCAATGCGATTGTACCTAGAATATAGAAACTAATATAGCAAAACATAGAGGGAAAAGATAAGTACTTGATTACAGTCATCAAGTAATCAACAAGTTCTTTGATGTCTGCTTGCTTCTTATTGACAAGCTCCAGGATAAGTGGTGACCCAGCAAACACCCCCGCTGCTCATCAACCCACTTCGGCAGTACCTGTATATAATACAAAACCCCCCACATAAATATCCTCAAGGCACGAATAAGCTTGGCACTGCAAATGACTTAAGACAACATAGAAATGTGTTGGCAATACTGACTTACACTGAGGGCGAAGGCATCGTGTACAGCCATGATACGGTTGTACAACACTTTTGAGGACTCTTCTGTGATCTTGGAGCTCCCATCCCAGAACTCACAGATCTCCTTCCATAATTCAGGGTTTTCATGCTTATTGCAGTGTTTGACCCAATGGTCATGTTGCAACTGCTTCCAGTCATTTGTAGACATTAGAAAAAACACGTAAGGAAGAGATTTGATGAGTACTGCACACTACTTACTGTCAGAAGACTTGGGGTGCTTTGTCTTGTACCATGCTTGGTACATGTTCCAACTATTGTCAGCACAAGTAGTTTTCACTGCTAACCCAGCTTGAATCAAAATTGTTCGTACTGATTTGCCATACTCCTTGGCAATTTTCTCCACCTCTGCAACTGTTTTGTCACCCAAGGCGACAGCCTTATCAATGGCTTCTTGTGGGAGTCAGCCAGACATAAGGGAATCACCAGAATTTTCATCAAGGTCGACCTGCTGCTGACCATCATCAAGGTCAGCCTGATGCTGATTGTTGTGTTGCTCTTCATCATCTGCAGGGGGAGGTAGCTGCTTCCCCTTACCCTTGGCCTGTCGAGCAGGAGGTGCAGGTGAGACGTGATCCTTGTCCGCTTGTTGAGGCTGTGTACCAGGAGGCACGGGTGACTTGTCAGCATCATCATTGTCAGAGCCCAACTGGCTCTTCTCCTCATCGTTGTAGTTGCTGTCCTCAGGAGAGGCCTCTGGCAGCACAGCATTAGAATACTATAATGCAGTAATACTTGTCTAACATACCAGTCTGATTGATTGTCACTGTCACATGCTGCTGATGATATTGTCTTGCGCTTCTTGAAGAGTATAGGGCCATCTACAGTAGAATCAACCACAGTGTTATCATCCTGAAGAAGGTCTGTCAGTAAGTCGTCAGAAAGATGAACACTGTTGTGCTTACTGCAAGTGCACCAGAATCCTTATTGGTAGGGGAGGGTTCAGGGCTTCCATCTTCAACAGAACCTTCAGCAATAGGCAAGGTATCTGGGAGCTGCAGGAGTTAAGGGTTAGTGACTTGACTCCCATAGTAAAGTGACCATGCACCTTAGAGAATTTGTGATTAGTCTTTGTGATGTGGGCAGGGCTGACCTTGTGTGGAGGGGGAGCCTTGCGAGCAGGGCCAACCTTGCAAGATGCCGATGTCCTCACCATTGTTCAAAAATGGACTGTAAGATGCGTAGTCTGTTGGTCCAAGTATTCCAGGATGCATAGTCACAGGAAGGAAACAGTCAACACACAGTCAGACCTCAGGATGGGGGAAGATAAAGACAAACCAGGGTGTAACAGTGAGTGGAGGGTGAAAATGAGGGAAAATTTCCTGGAAAAAGTAAATAATGGGCTTTTATATTGACTGAAAGACTTACCACTCAAGAAGGTTCGGAGGCATTAGGTTAAACACTGGAAACCAAACGGAGCTAACATATGAAATATTGGGTTAGTTACTTGGGCTGAGGGATCAGGCCCATCAAGTCAATACCAAGGAATGCAAGACAAGACACATTATGGTCAGCATATTCAGATCAGTGAAAAATAATCAGTAAAATAGCCTTGCCCAAACAACAGTCCATGTATTGCATCCACTAACAAATATACAAATTCTTGGCACAAATGGCCACGATTGGACCATGTACAGATGAAACACATGTCTGTTCAGAACATGGCATAATTGCAGAACTAAATTGGCTGTGTTGATTTTAAATGCAATAGAATGAATATAGTGTAAACAGGCTTACCATGACTCAGATCGCTGAATGAAACTTGTAGATACAGGAAAAATTATGCAGGAAAGCGGTGTGGGACGACAGGGGGCCTGCCGAAGTGGTCAAAGAAACATTGCACATAAAAATCACAGGCTGGTTGCATGATCTGGAAGTACATAGTAACATTGAAAACACTTGCATCCAATGGCGCATTGAGGCATGATGGGGAATCCTCCCAGCAGGACAACAGCTTGCGGAAATTTTCAATGTAGGGGAAAGTGTCAATCATCTGACGACTCCACAACCCACTGTTGTCATCAGGTAAAGATGATGACCACATCACAAAGCCGCCCTCTTCAGGGAAAATACTGTAAAGGAGATCCCGGCAATTATGTTGTGACTCCTCCCATGATGTGCGGGCCATGACTTGATCTAGAGCTAGAAGCTCATACTGGAAATTGAGTTCATACAATTCCCAGAGTATAAGGTGCATCAAGCGCAAAGGAGGGTTGCAAAGAGACATAATTGAAATGGACATATTACGCCACTGCACATTCTTGCCAATGGCCCATGTGGTTCCCTGGGTGTCCTGAAGATCTTCGCCAAATATTTGTGTGGCTGCTTGCTTCTGTGAGGCTGCAGCAGTAGGACCTGCCGACAACAAGGCTATTATGGAGGGCTCGCCAGAGGGGCTACTGTTAAGAAAATCTCACCAAAGTTGTGGTGTGGAAAGCACTCTGGAGGGTTGTGATTGACATGACTGATCCACAGCGGTCATGCAGCAAGCCAGTTCACAACAAATAATTTCTTATGCTCCAGTGAACTAGGAGTAATGAGAAGTGCAGGCTCAGGGAACCAATACCCTTGATCAACGAGACCCTTTTTGATGTGATCTTTGTCCTTGTTTGCTCTCTGGAAGGCAGAAGTCCAAAAGCCGATGGCTTCGGGGTTTTCTGGGCAATGGAGGTCCTCCCATTTGTCATGGTTAGGTTGGCCATCAGCAACCTTAGAAACTTCTAAAGACAAAAAAACAGTAAGGTTCTAGTGTCAATTACAATAGAAATACACACACTTTGCTTCATCAATTGAGATGAAGTAATGTTTCATGCCTTCTCATTTTTTTGTCCCTGAGAGGGAGCTTTACCACTAGCTGGGGTTTGAAGCAGTGTTGAAGGCAATGGGGCACCAGGGTTCACAGCAAAAGTGCCAGTGTAGGCCCAACGGGTATGAAAGTGACAGTTGAAGCCACCAGGGCCACAATACAGGAGGGGGAATGGCCGCATGATGTTGCCTTCACAATAGATGTTCCTTGTCAGATCATCTGGGAATGTCAGGACGACCAGTTTGATGATGTTCATCTGGGGAGAAATATAAGCCTCTGCGTGAACAAGCCACACAGGCACACTGGCATTGAGAAATATATCACAAGTCTTTGAATCAGTAGTAAAGCAGCCCATCAATCTCGAGTTCCCGTCAAGTAGACCCCAAGAAGACCAGCCTGAGGTGAGATGAGGTTGAACTATCTCAATGAAGTCCATGAAAGCCATGATGTTGAGGAACAAGCATTGTGCTTGGGTAACAAAGATGATGATATCACAGTACATCAAGGGATGTCACCGGAGCACATTGATGTCATGCTTGAGGGATGCAAGCATGTTAATGATGATGTCCTTCTTGCCTGCCTAATTCGCCTGCCATGGTTGAACTCGCTTGCGAGCAATGGTAAGCAAGTTGTCAATACTGTCAATGATATGTGAGTGTAGTGAACCAACAGCAAATGCAGTCCCAGGTTGAATGGCAAAGTCAGCTGTAGTGGGAGTGAACCAGGCAAATTGCAGGTCAATTGATGAGGCATCCTTGCAAGGGATGCAGACGGTGTATTTGAACTCTTTACAATACATCTGTGGCCATTGGAAACAATCAGCAGCTCCAAAATGTCCATCTGCTCAAGCCCTGAGTTCTTCTAGGTCATCATTGTGGAGTTCTGGTACCCAATCCATATTCAGAGTGGTGATGACAAGTGGTTCTTGATAGCCAATGGCTCTTGCATCCAGGGCACTGATAGCCACTGTAAACATCTTGTCAGAAGGTAATAGATGGCATATAAATGATAGTCTTACCATCTGGGCACCTGTAAGGAGTGAACTTAGTTAACACAGTAGGCATAGTTATCAACTCAAATCAAATCAAATCTGTAAGACTGTATCAATTTGGTGTTTGAAAAGATTAAAGTGAACTCACATCACAAAGACGAACTAACAACAGGCTTGTGTGATTTTAACACATGTAGCACAGTAGAAAAGTAAGTGCAGGGAGTTCCCAATGAAGTTTGTGAGCCTGGAAGGTTATCAAATCTGTAAGACTGTATCAGTTTTGGTGTTGAAATCGGTTAAAGTGAAGTCACATCACAAAGACGAACTTTCAACGGGCCTGTGTGATTGTGATGCAGGTAGCATGGTTGACAGGTAAGTGCAGGATATTCCCAGTGATGTTTGTGAGCCTGCAAGGATGTGAGTGTTAAAATCAATTGAAGAAAACAAACCTTGTGAAAATGTTTGGTGCAAGAGTAAGGCAGGCAGCGAGTGCAGAAACTAATGTAGGGTACTCCCAAGAGAGTCTTCAACCCCACTGGTGCAACAACAAGAGAGCAGCTGGGGCGACTCTCCAGATGCGAAGTCAACTGCAAGCGATGTGAACGGCTTGTAGCCAGTTCAATGGGTCCAGGTGAATTTTGAGAGGGAGACGGCTTGAAGGGGCAACAAATACGACAGGCAAGGAGGGAGTGTAAGAGGAATTTGAGGTGGGGAAACTGGTGTGTGGGGTGAAGTTTGAACACAAACTTGGATTGGTGGGAATTCCCATAGATCTTATTGATCATTGATTATTGATTATCAACATCTGTTTGTTTGGTCTTGTTGTTGCAGTTGTTGCACTGCAAATGTTGTCCTGGTGTTAACTCATCATCGATCTTCACCTCTACCTCCTACATCTATCAATCACCTTTCCTGCGCCATGGATTTTGTTTGGCCACATTCTCTCTCTCAACACTCGCACCTGGACCCATTGAATTGGCTATGTGCCATTCACATCACTTGCAGTTGACTTCACATCACTGAAAGCAATCTCCTAGACTTCGCATCTGGAGAGTCGCCCCGGCTGCTCTCTCATTGTTGCACCAATGGGGTTGAAGACTCTCTTGGGAGTACCATGTGCTTTCACCAACAACTAATCCTACCTGACTCATTTTAAAATTGGTAAGTGATTTTTTCGACTGTATTCTTGAGATCTCACTGTAAATATCAGTTCAACCACACCAGGGTTAGCAACTGTCATCAGTGAGTATTTTTTTTCGTATGTCTGACCAAGTTTACTGTTCACATGAGTATCATTCAGTCATATATGCCACACTTGGCACATGTAAATGCACTAATTCAGTCTCACAGGTAAGTTTTCTAGATTGCTGATACAATTCACAATTGACTCCAGCCTAATTATTTGTGCTGGGCTTCCCAATAGGCACTTTTGAAATGAAGGTTCAAGCACTTGTACATTGAGACTACGTGTCTCATGGCTGTGCAGTGTCCCAAACGACCCTGTCATGCAGGTCCCTCGTCACATCCCCACTCTGATCACCCACCACCTGTGACTCCTACAGACTCGCAGCCAATGACTATCATTTGTGAACTGTGGATGGTTCGTCACAAATGCCAAGCTTCTCGGACTTACCACTCAGTTGCACCTCCCCTTCTTGTTCTACCTGGCCGGCAGCACTTTACCCAAACTATTTCATCTTCATCTCAACACTTGCTTGCCCAGGATCAAAGTCACCCGCATTCCCCTAGCAGTGCTGATCCTCCAGATCACAATCCCTTCATCACCGACGAACCTCTTTTCAGCAACTTCCTCTATGAGCCCGATGGTCCTATCAACCTTCCACACCCACATCTGTCTGGCCTCCAGAAGAAGCAAAATCAATGGCAGAGATGGTCTCAAGAAGTCATTCCTTCCCTCATTGAACCTTACCTTGCCTACTGCCAGCAATCAGAATCCTTGCAATCCAACCCTGACCTTGGTCTCCTCACCAGAGACAATTTGCATTGCAGTGTGTTTTGTCGCTTGCGATCACTGGCAGTCACCTGTGTACTCTTTGACTGTGCATTCTGTCTTTTGTGGTGCAAGCATCTTCACTTATTTTTGCCATAAATATTAGGTTTGCAAGTCATCAGCATTACCTGCTGCGAGTGTTGTCCAGCACCACTCCAACTCATGACACATGGGTTATTTGCATGTGCTCCTGTTACCCTGTCTCTTGCAGTAGACATCCATGTGTTGGAGCTAGTAAAAAATCTGTTTGTACAGATGACTCCCAACTCAACTGCATGGTGCAATGTGCTAGAATTTTTTTTGAATGAGTGAGGTTATGAATTGAACACCAAGGTCAGTCTATTGCTGTTTACATTGTGTCATTGTGTTCACTCCAGTCGATAGGACAGTCTTAGATGCTGGTTTAGCAATGCATATCATTGGTATACTGTTCTGACCATAATGGCATCGGACTACCTTACCACATTTATCTCTAAATCTCGGCGCGCTGGTGCAGAAGCAACAACCAACACACCACAACTACTAAGTCAGCCAAGTGCTTACCTTTCTTTGCGTTGTCCTCTGTGCTTCGGTGGGAATGACTGGCAGGCAGCATCATGATCTGACCACAACATAAGACACTTAAATTTCACTCTATATCTTAGCTCATCATTTCATTAGGGTCGACTACATTGTTTGTGTTGATGCCTGCTTCACCCAAAAGCGCTCCAACAACCCACGAAATGGTAGCATGCAAGATCCACCTAACCACATGCCAACTGTTTTTATCCCTGAACACGAAGTCAAGTTGATGGAAGACCATGTCAATGACTGCTGTGGGGATGGAACTGGGACACACAAACAACCAAGGCAGCCAGCTGAAGAGGTTCACGATGGGTATGAGGACAGGATGAGGATTCCAGTGTCTGTCTTGGATGGGTGCAGTGAGTCCTTTGTGGCGGCAGATGAAAAGCGCGAAAAAGCAAGTACATGCTTTTTTGCAGACACTGGACTCATGGCATTACTTTGTCGACACAATCGAGTGCTGTGGCTCGTTAACATGACCTCTGCTGGCGAGAAGCAATATTACTCCCTTGCATTAGTGAAGTGGCTCTTCGAGCATCTACTGCCTGATATGCTGGTGGGGTTGCTATATGACATTGGATGTCAACTTGAGCATAGTTGTTGGAAGTGGGGCTTCCTGGATGACTCTATTCTATCACATATCAGCTTCAGAATATCTGTGTTTCATGCATATGGTCACCAGTGGCCTTGTCAAATTGTCTACCACCCTCGAAAGTGTGCTGGGTTTGGGCTATCTGATGGAGAGGGCTGTGAGCATCTATGGAGTGCCTTGAAACATCTCATTCCAGTGCTTCGAGTTTCTGGTGTATGTTACACGCTACTGTATGTTTCATGCTGGCTGGTACTGAATGTTTTCTCTTTAGTATCACCAGCAGTTATTTGTACTGGATGTACAAGTGTGCTACTTGGCTCTCAAGTCTCTGGATGCATCAGGGCAATGGTTAGTGTGGAAGTGGATGATTTGCCAGAGGAAGAAACAGGTGGCTCTGGATGGTCTGAGGGATCTTGGGTCTGATGAGGACATCCTCTGAGAGGAGTGGGCAGCCCAGATAGCTCATCAGACAAAGCCGATAGCTTGTAAGTAATTTTCTGGATTTTATTCAACAACCTGTCATATTTATTTTTGTGTACAGGCAGATCTAAACATAAAGCTGCAGAGGCTATTGTGGGTGTTCTTGCATTGGAAAAGACCCTTGAAAGCCATCAGAACACCATACAGCAACTTGAACATCAGCTCATTAGCAACAATGTTGACAACATGACTACTTTCAATCTCCAGCTTCATGATGCACATGCCCGATGTGCCAAGGTCATTGAGACCCTTGGGTGGAGATGAGCCACATTAGGTGTTTCAGAGTATGCTGATCTGCAAAAATTGAAGAAGAATGTTTATCTTCAAGTTCATATGAATGCCCATGCTTTGAAAATGCGACTTCAAGAGCGACTCTGACAATGAAAATTCAAGCTGGAAAAATTGGAACGGTCCTATCGAAACACAGTCAATGGTACATTTAATTATTTTTCATTCATATTAATGATTTACATTGAGTTATAGAACTGAACATACGCAATCACACAGAGGCCTCCATCAAGCAGTGAGAACCTACAATCCTCAAGATTGTCTCAACATACAACTCCTTGTGCGACCAACTGCATATGCTGATACATCGACGCAAGGTGCCTGCTAATGCCATTCCACCCATACCTATCTCATGTGATGGTATCTTTCAGCTGGATGTTGATGATGACATTTGGCAAGATGTAGGTCTGGAAGATGAGACTGTGAACCCACCTCGATGGCTTGCTGATGACAATGTCCTGTCAGGGAATTCATCTGTTACTTGATCTTGGACCGCTGTTTGGAAGAAGAGGACAGGTTAAGATGCGAACACTGTGTTATGCAAGAGTGCATGATCACAGAGTGGACTGCACTTCAGGAGGCTCAAGAAGTTGCAAGTGAGTTGCCTACTTAATCGTTATTGTTGGTATGTCCTAAAATATGGTGTTAGATGTTGATGTGGCATGGCACCTTGAGAAGTGTGCTGCACAGCTATCCCTCATGTGCTTTGAGTGGCAATCAAGAGTACTGTCCCATACCCAGTGCATGGGAAATGCCTGATAGTTGGGGACCATCCTCCACTGATATTGCCCATGCTGGACATTCACTTTACCATGCAAAAACTGTGCAGCCTGCAAATGCTGACTCGGGGGAATTGTCAGAGGATGAGAGCAACAATGATGACATCGATGAGGGAGGAGTTGATGATGAGTTGATGGTAGCAATAGAGGAAGTCACATATGCAAATGAATATTGGATTGTGGAATCAGATTCCAAAGGAGACCTAGAGTACTGGGATGAAGTACATGTGCCATCTTCTCCAACCTTGTATTAATTTTTTGTGTCAATGAATTTCATCAGTATTAGACACTTGGATATGAGGAGAGTAACAGATATTCAGCATGACTTGTCAACTGTAAGACATTTCAGCTTCAAATTAACCAAAGTAAACTCCATTAATGCTGTTTTTCTGGATCACATTGAGAGCATTGGCAACTCAGTGAATTTGCAGGATGATATGGGGGCTGGATATTCCCAACCAAGTCTGGATATTCCCAACTTGACAATATGGGGGTCTGGGACTTCATGATTTGAGAATATATATGGTCAGAGAATACCTGACATGACAATATGAGGGTCTGGATATTCCCTACTGAATAATGTAGGTGGACTGGGACTTCCCTACTTGACAATAAGGGGGGTCTGGATATTCCTGACTGAATAATTTGGGTGGTCTGGGACGTCCCAACTTGATGATAAGGGGGTCTGGATATTCCCAACTGAATAATTTGGGTGGTCTGGGAAGTCCTGACTTGACCATAAGGGGGGTCTGGGAATTCCCTACTGAATAATGTAGGTGGTCTGGGAAGTCCCGACTTGACAATAAGGGGGGTCTGGATATTCCCAAGTGAGTAATTTAGGTGGACTGGGACGTCCCAACCTGACAATAAGGGGGGTCTGGATATTCCCGACTGAATAATTTAGGTGGACTGGGATGTCCCAACCTGACAATAAGAGGGGTCTGGATATTCCTGACTGAATAATTTGGGTAGCTTGGAACTTCCCAATGTCAGAATATATATGGTCTGGGACATCCCAACAGGACAATACAGGGCTCTGGATATTCCCAACTGAATAATTTATGTGGACTGGGATGTCCCAACTTGACAATCAGGGGGGTCTAGATATTCCCAACTACATAATTTGGGTGGCCTGGGACTTCCCAACTTGACAATAAGGGGGGTCTGCATATTCCTGACTAAATAATTTGGGTGGCCTGGGACTTCCCAACTTCAGAATATATATGGTCTGTGTCATATCCCACAATCCAGACCCATGTTCCATCATATTCCCACGCCTTCCGAGCCTACGTCCAGGCCCCATATCCAACTCATTCCAAGATCCCCTTCTGCTGTGTACTCCACACCTCAGCAGGATCAACTACACTCCAGATTTACCCCTGAGCTCCAGACCTCTGGATCCTCACTGCTAGCCTGATCCGTACAACCCTATCCTGTCCACCCTATGCGCACTTCATCCAGCAAGACATCTGGACTTCACCTCATCTCAGATTCTGGACTATATCCACCTTCTTGTATTCCAGTCCTGTATCCACCTTGTCTTCCAGATCCCCAGATCTCCGGACCTATTCCCACCCTCTGTCCAATGTCCTGCACCTATCCCCATTTAGGCATTCTCTGCCTTCCAGCTTTCAGTTACCTCTTGTTCCATCTTGCTTATTGATCCTTGTATGAGTCCTCATCTCTGAGTTCATTTACTTACAGTGGCTCAAAAAACTGTCCGCATGTTTTGACATTTTTCACTATCTATGATATTGTGTGAGAACAAACAAATGCCTCAAGGACATGCTTATAGCACATTGTAGTATGGCTTCAGGGCTTTCATTTGAGCCCTACACCATGGGAATCGGTGGAGATATGGTGGAGATACAAGGCTCACAAAATGGTGACTCATGCAGACAGTTTTTTGAGCACATATTAAAACTATATAAATCATCATTTATGACACCATAACAATCATGCCACCATTAAATAAATTATAAAGTGGTGTCATTATGTCATTTTAAAACCATATCTAACTATACAAACCAAAAATTTCCATATTTCATGGTTATATTCACCATGAAAGCCACCCTCCCTGCTCAAAGGGATAATATCCTCTCTCTTTCCTATTTTGGCCTCTCTGCTTGTCAAATTTCCTCTAGAACTGGAGTATGCAAGTCCACTGTGGCCAAGTTCATCAAAGAAAGTCACACAGACAAGGAAAACTTCTGTGAAGGGTGTCCATCCAAGCTCACCTCTACTGATAGGAGGGCTATTATTCAACATATCACTACAGGAAAGGCTGATAATGCTGTCCAGGTCACCTATTACATCAATTCCACCATCACATTCCCTGTCTCTTCACACACTGTGAGAAACATTCTCAAGACAGCTCATCTCAGGTCAGTAACAAGGAAGAAAAGGCTTTCCTCTCTATCACACATATGCAGAGAGGACTAGCACCCTTCTTTTTTCACATATATACCTTGCCATCTGACCCAATCCTATTTATTGTGGTCTTATATGATCATATAACATGCTTCCAGTCCATGTAATCCAATTCTGATGGGCTAAGGCAAAGGTTAGTCATCTCTGCATATGTGTGATAGAGAGGAAAGCCTTTTCTTCCTTGTTACTGACCTGAGATGAGCTGTCTTGAGAATGTTTCTCACAGTGTGTGAAGAGACAGGGAATGTGATGGTGGAATTGATGTAATAGGTGACCTGGACAGCATTATCAGCCTTTCCTGTAGTGATATGTTGAATAATAGCCCTCCTATCAGTAGAGGTGAGCTTGGATGGACACCCTTCACAGAAGTTTTCCTTGTCTGTGTGACTTTCTTTGATGAACTTGGCCACAGTGGACTTGCATACTCCAGTTCTAGAGGAAATTTGACAAGCAGAGAGGCCAAAATAGGAAAGAGAGAGGATATTATCCCTTTGAGCAGGGAGGGTGGCTTTCATGGTGAATATAACCATGAAATATGGAAATTTTTGGTTTGTATAGTTAGATATGGTTTTAAAATGACATAATGACACCACTTTATAATTTATTTAATGGTGGCATGATTGTTATGGTGTCATAAATGATGTTTTATATAGTTTTAATATGTGCTCAAAAAACTGTCTGCATGAGTCACCATTTTGTGAGCCTTGTATCTCCACCATATCTCCACCGATTCCCATGGTGTAGGGCTCAAATGAAAGCCCTGAAGCCATACTACAATGTGCTATAAGCATGTCCTTGAGGCATTTGTTTGTTCTCACACAATATCATAGATAGTGAAAAATGTCAAAACATGCGGACAGTTTTTTGAGCCACTGTATGTAGTCTGGGCTTCCCAACTTGATAATTTGGGGTGTCTGGATATTCCCAACTAAAGAATTTTGGTGGGGTGGGAATTCCCAAATTGACACTATATATGGTCAGGGAATTCCTGACTTGACGAAGAGTTGGGGGGTCTGCAAATTCCAAGTGTAGGGACTTGACTAACCAGGTTACTATTGCACACTGGGAATTCCCAACTGAATAATTTGGGTGGTCTGGGACTTCCCAACTGCAGAATATATATGGTCTGGGAATCCCCGACGTGACAATATGGGGGGTCTGGATATTCCCCACCAAAGAATATGGGGGTCTGGACTTCCCTGACCCAACAATGTGGGGTCTGGATATTTCTGACTGCAGAATTTCGGTGGGCTGGGAATTCCCGGCATGAGAATATATGTGGGCTGGGACGTCCCAACTTGACAATATGGGGGGTTTGGATATTCCCCACTGAAGAATATGAGGGTCTGGGAATCCCCAACATGACAATGTGGGTCTGGATATTCCTGATGTGATAATATATATGTTCTGGGAATCCCCAACCGGACAGTATGTGGACCTGGATACTCCCCACCAAAGAATAAGGGAGTGTGGAAATTCTTGGCTTGAGAATATATGTGGTCTGGATATTCCTGAATGAAGAATTTTGATGGTCTGGGAATCCCTGACTTGATAATATATGTGGGTGGTAAGTCCTGGCTGGAGCATATATATGGCCAGGAAATTCTGAACATGAGTATATGTGGCCGGGGAAATCCCATCATGACATATCATCACTTAAGCAGATATACTCATGATCCTCATACCACCCTACCATGATCCCAATAACACCTTCAGATGGTTCTCATACTGAGCCATCATGATCCCTATACTACCCTCTGATGGTTCTCATACCACCCTATGGTACCCTCCAATTGCTACACCTACAGAATCATCACTTGGGGATCGCACCATTCAGATATTGATCAACCAATTCATGGTCTCAGCTACCCACCCACACCTACAGAATCATCACTTGGGGATTGCACTGTTCAAATATTGATCAACCAATGCCTGGTCTCAGCTACTCGCCCACGCCTACAGAATCATCACTTGGGGATCACACTATTCAGACCATCATGATCCCTATACTCCCCTCCAATGGTCTCCAATAACACCTTCAGATGGTTCTCATACCACCCTATACTACCCTCTGATGGTCCCTGTACCACCCTCCTATGATCCCTATACCACACCTTCATGACCCCTATACCCCCTAATGATCCCAGCTATACCCCCCCAATATGGTAAAAAAAATCAGCCCAAAAGACTCCTGACACCACTCACATTACAGGGAAAGCCCATGGGAATGTTCACAAAATTATGTCCCAGGTGGGCTGGGAAAGCATTGGCTTTGTCCCATAGGACTTATCCCATACCTACAGTACAATGGGAAAAACCAGAGGAATCACACCTCTTAGGTTAATACATGTATACAGGACTATCAACCTAATAGGTATACTTTTGGGGGTGACTGAAGTGTGCGCCGTCGAAAAAGTCTCGGGGTACATGATTCGAGACCTTGATTGGCTGACGGACTGGACGTTGTGTAGCATCAGCCTAGAATGCATATGTTTAAATGCAATGAGATCTGTGATGAAAGTGTCACATACAGCAAGTAGTAGTAAGTTGTCGCGTTGGTCTAACAGGAGCTCGTTGAGGCCAGCTTCTGTTACTATCGCGGAAATGCCCCATGTGTACGCATTTTTGTCCCAGCAGCCAGTGGCTAGTGGTTTTCCATCTGCATGGTGGAGGGGTGAACCAATGGGCTGGTTGTTTTCAAGGTTCCATAAACGCGCCGTGTCATGTACTGGTAAGGTCGGAGTGAAGGTCGCACTTTCGACACGTATTGGCGCCTTGTATGCAAGTATTTCTGCAAACTCAGTAGACTCATTTGCTGACTTGA